CTAAAATTAAAACCAATATGAAAATATGTATAACATGCATTTTAACGGTAACATTATAGTGTAACATTTATTGTAGAATAGATTCATTTAAACAGAGCATTATCTTGCATGAAAGTGTTTATAAAACATCTAATCATTATTAAATATTTCATTTTTATCAATGTAAAAATCTCAAGATAGACCTTAGCATAGCAACTAACGAATGTCTTATTAAAACCTTGTCAATTTCATGATAACCTTAAACCATACAACCCAGCTACTTATGAGTAGTATAACACAAAAAGTAAACTTAAGATAGATACCTACCTATTTCTTATGCTGAAATTATTTGTTATTGTTACCTTTTAGTATATATTCAGTGGAATCTAGAAAATGCTTATTCCTCCCGTACCTTGTCAACCCTACCTTATTTCACGAGAGCATTACAACCAATATTTGGATTAAATGTTCTATTAAGTGATGCAGGAGTAGATCCAAGTTATCTGGAACAAATAGAATATGGTCTAGATATGAGAAGTACTGAATTGGCTGCTTGTCATTCCACTCAGACGTGGTTACGAGTTGCAGAACTAGTAGGAAACCATGATGAAGAGATTAATAAGAAAGCAATTATGTTGTTAAAATCAATGAATGAAAAGGTAAGTAGTTAACATGAGTTTCATATTACTTTTAAATGCACTACATTCTAAGCAATTATTTTAGTAATAAATAATGAGTTTATTGTGTCATAAAGGTAGTTCTTTTTATTTCATCCAATAAAGAGGGCAAAATTATAAATTCAAATTCGAAATAACAAATAACTTAAAATGAATATAAACTGTAGTGTATAAAATGTTCCGAGCACCGTAAATTAAGGTATACCGACAGTCATAGAGAATTTTTTCATCAAACTTATACTACTACGGACAAAACGACAACAGAAATAAATCAGACTGAAAATTTTTAATATACATCTAGCAAACCGTTTACGAATAACAGTGAGTTACTATTAGAACCCCTATTTCTTTGGTTCCACAGATTCCAGCTTCACATTCTTACTATTTATGCCGAAAGATGTGAAAGTTTTTAATTGTGAGTGTACACTGTCAAAGAGTCTCAAATTCCAGTGAAACAGTTGTCCAATGTTGCCTAGTTTTTAGTAATGCTCTAGCTTATGTTAGTTTATGGTGGTGATTATTCTATGGAAGACAGACAGTTGGTTAAAATCGCAGACAACTATATGTAACGATCAGCACCAACAATGAGGCTGACTAAAATTATCTTTATAAACTGCTTGTTTATACATTTACAGAATTCTACAAGTTTTCTTAACCCATTCCCTTTTCTTTGTAATATAATTTTGCAGATATATAAAGTTTTTCAACACATAACAAATTTAAAACAAAAGTTGCACTTATCAAATGATGTACAAATGCTTCAGGGAACAAATAATCATAATAATGATTATCATCAATTAATCCAAAAGAATAGTAGAAATACAGTTCGACGTCCTATTTTTTATTTAATGGGACCACCTATACATATTCAATATTGTTTGAATAAAAATTGCATTAAACAAAATTTAAATTCATTATCACCAATATGGATTAGTATGATATGGGGTTTAGAACAAAAATCTAATATTAAACGAATAGCTGCATTAAAAGCATTAACTGTACTCATAGAATCACAGATAAACGAAACAATAAAAACAACACAAAATAATAATGCAAATAATAAAAATTGTAAACTATGTGGAAATACAAATGATTCAATTACAAATTCAACATTATTACAACTTTTAAATAATATGCATTCAAATGATTCGGATCCATTGGTGAAGAATTTAGCTGGACAAATTATTGACAGAATTACTACAAGATCTAATACTGAATCACACAATGAACAAGTAAGTTACAGTTAAATTATATTTTTCTTCTTCCTTTATCATATCCAGTTGCCAGTGAAAACTTTAAAAAATAAACAAATAGCTACAAGTAATAAAATGAAATTATTTTGAACTTCTACAGGTTGTGATTTAGAAATATACCTCCATGACAATTATATCAGAGTTTACTTTTGATTTGGTGGATACAACTGGCAGAGATTGATTTACGAATGTGGAAAAAACATGTATTATCAACGGACGAAGGAAAATATAATATAAGTAGTGAACAGATATAAAAATAAAAACAGAGAATATTAATTGATCATTGGAAAGTAAATTTGGAGTAATAATTAAATGTTGAAGGTATAAAGTTGACGAAACTAAAATAAAGGGGAAACTCATAGTCACGGATTTCCAGTCATCCTGTTTTGATCACTAAATATTTGCTAGTTTATCTCGAAGCCAAGTTCCCACTTACAATTTTTTCTACTCGTGTAATCAATGAAAAGATAAATAATAAAGGTGGTTGCTAATGTTTGCATTGTCGTTTTAACTAAACAGATACAATATGATTTTTATAAGGTATTGCCAAGCTGTCACATCTTGAGTCCCCCACTTAGCTTTCAAACGAACATCTTAACTAGAATATGAACGACACTACATATGTGACATAACAGTGCATGTAGATATCGTAGCCCATGTTCGACTCGATAATTTCAAATAAATTGAGCACAAAATATTGAGATATTTTATAAATCATAATGAGTAGAAATTAAAAATTCTGACGTTTCACGACTTAGCTTAAGTCAATTTTTCTGAGAATGAATAAATAACCGAATTCGACTTGTATTAAATATCATCTAGTTATAAATACCATGTGTAGTATTTAAGTCATTAATCTAACTTTTATTATCGATGAAAAGTAAGTGATCATTTTTTTCGTATTTCATTAATTTCAGATAACTAAACCTACTCGTCTCCTGAAAACAATATGGACTAAATTCAGTACTGCAGAAAATTTACCCTCCAAACCGTCATATATCTTTCAACGATAATAACTGAGATTCACATTAATCTACAACCATTTTACAGTCACTGTATTTTCATACATAGTTTGTACAGCTATTTGTTTTAGTGCTGTATGATAACGAAAATTTCGACTAGGAAATATTTACGCCTTTAAAATTAAGAACAAGAACTAAGATAGATAAAGGCAGTGAAAGGAGTTAAACCACGTTTTCGAATATTTGGTATTAAATTATTTAAAATTCTCTCAACATAATTCTGAAAATGTAGAAAGAAGGTCTCTTATATGACTAAGTATTCTAAGTCTAATTGTGAAACGGAATATTAAGGTGTACTTTGTAAATATTACATGATAATAATGAACAAATACTTTATCTAAACAAAGCGAGAACAATAAGATTTTAAGAAAAAGTGGATTCATCCTATTTCGGATTCTTTTTATCAACTGTGAACAGCTTAAAGTTACAATAAGTACTTTAGTTAATAAAGTTGAAATGTATGTTCGAAAGCAGTGTGAACATCGTAATAGCAGGAAGAAGACAAAAGTTTTAACACTAAGGATAGTAAACGTTGATATGCAAAAACAAAAATTAGTTTTATTTCTAAATCTATTAAAGGCACTAAATATATGGAACAACTTGGTCATTTTGAGAATTCAATCAGGTATTTATGTTATCGGGAAACGATATCACCTAACATACTGATGATCATTATTTACGTACTGACATATCATCATCGAAATATTACAAGATTGATATAACAACTAATTACTAAAACGTAACAATTTTCACACAACTAGCGGATTTCCCGATTCTCCTGTATTTATGTATTGAAAACTTGATATAGGATTACTTAGAACTGTTTGCAGTATCGTATTCGTATTCCTCATTCTTCTACACCTTCAAAGACTAAGGATTTGAACCTGTGGTCGTGATACAATCAGTAATAGAAATAATTGTTAGCGTTCAGCTTGCAATTACTTCATTATCACATAATCAAAAATACAGTCTGATAAAACTTCAAAAGAAAACGAGATGTCTAATAAAAATAAGCAACTAGATGTGAAGTACACAGATGTAATATGAACGTTATTTATTGGCATTAAAAGTAATTGGAAAACAATGGGGACTTTCAATAATTTCGGTAGAATAACACCAAAAACAGGTTAGACAGTAAGCCAAATGTATCTAATGTACTTTGCCTCTGTGTATTACAAATAACTAGTGAATAAGAATACAGTAGAATACTTATTTCTATGTTCTACATAATAGGAATAAAACTTGGTTTAAGAATTGCCTATCAGTCTATTCAATACAAAAAGTCTGCTAAGTCCGCACCTTCGACAAGCTGGTCAAGAAAGGTGGTCCAAATTTCAATGCTGCCACTTTACATTTATTCGTATAAAGAGCAGCATCAGCATTCACGATAAACATAATAAAAGATACCTTAAATTTTATGAAGTAAGAAAGTCGTCTCATTCCTTTATAAGTTCGACTGACCGTCTACTGTAATTTTGTGCAGACTACAACCCGTTTCTGGATAGCACTAATGACCGGCACAGTCATCGCCGATGTGTTTTCTCATGTCCCTTCACTGCACCTCAAACCTACACTCAGATTGATCACAACGCGATTAGCTACCGCTGTCGTGGTTGCGTGCAAGACAGTTTCTCCTTCTGGAGTACCTATCTGGACTCTGATCATGCCCTTGTCTGAGCTAATCTTATCTTACGTTTCAGTCGACCACTTTTGCTCTATGCTTGTGAAACCTGGTCCCTCCGAGTTGAGGATGTTAGACGACTTTCGGTGTTTGGTCATCGTTGTCTCCAAAGGATTGCTGACATCCAGTGGCAACGCCATGTTAGTAATGCAGAGGTCCGGCATCGTGTGTTCGGGCACAGAGATGATAATGCAATCGATGTCACCATCTTGAAACACCTACTTCGGTGGCTTGGACATGTTCTACGAATGTCGTCCCAGAGAATTACTTGTCATACATTATTTGCTAACACTGGGACTGGTTGTGAAAAGCCGAGTGATCAGCACATAGCTTAGCGTCATATTATGAAAGAAAGCTGTACAGGACTTGCTTCTGTTGGACCTTCACGACTCCCTGGTTGGGGTCCTGGAGACAGTGAAACACAGTGGCTTCAGATGTTATCAAAAACGGCTCAAAGTAGAAGCCAGTGGCGATCCTGCTGTGACTCTACTTTCTTCATAAAAGTAAACGTGATTTCTTTGACTGAAATTCTTCCTTATATTTTTTTCTCTAAATGAATTGTTCATCACATTATTATCATTATTACTATCACTAGTATAGTTACTATTACTATTATTATTTCACTCTCATTCACCAATTTCTGTTCGTTGTTGCTTTTCCTTTATAATACTAACCCTCCATTCTCTAGTTCTTCACAACCTTATTATTATCGTGTGGCGCATATGTATTTAGTGCCCCTTTGTACTAACTTTTATGTGTCCAAATAAATAAATTATAAGGTGAAAATGCTTAGCCTTCATAAGTTATTTGTATCAATGTTTCAAAATATAAACACGATACTTAGTCGACATTAGGACATGAACAATTGAGAAATAAATTGTAAATAAACATATCTCAATAGAAAGTAAACTTAAAGACAGTAATGGTACACTTGTAGTATGTACTAATTAATCCAGAAAGATATTTACAACCTTTTATACTTATGAAGAAAAAACACCGAATCCAATCATCTTACTTAAATATATATTGAAAAAGAGAAAACAGAAAGCAAAAATTTAAATACAATAAAAGTACACTTTATTTCCAATGGTAAAAAGACAATTAAAATGAATACCCTTGACATGATATACGCATATATATATATAAAATTGCAAATGATGAAAATATAACAGTTAAATGCTTTAACACCAGGTAGTATTTTGCGTTAATTCCCTTATTTCTAAGAAAAAAAAAAGAGGTAAGATTAAGATCAAAAATAACAGGATGAAGCAAATGAAGAAAAAAAGGGAGGAATTGTTAAATAGTACATTTCAGTGAGAATGAATGAATTATACCGGTTTGTCAAAAAAACCCAGAAATCAATATACCAAAATATTATTATTATTATTATTATTATTAATAAGACCTCTAACAAACTGGCTGGGCAGCAGCACATAACAGTGACTTTACAACATGTTATCATTCATGCTATTCCAGTAATAATAATTTTCTTATTAAAATGGGTGAAAATTATTAGAGAAATAGAAAGAATATACATAATAAATTATAATTAAACAATTAAAAAGTGAATAGAACAAAAATTAATGACAATAATATTGAATTTTTAAAAAAAAATATCATATACCTATAACAATGGACAACGATAAAAAGAATGATGAAATCAAGTTATGATTATAATTCAATTAATACTAACTAGTATTACTTAATTAACAATAAAATAATGTAAATGTAATACGTATATTATAATATAACTTAGCGTACGCATTACATATCATTATGTGTTTAAAGCAAGCAAAATGGATAATTAAGAGAGAAAAAATAATAAACTAATTTAATAGAAATTGGACTAGAAATGTTGTTTTCCTTTTCCAGACACACATTGGGTATTTAGTTTTATTTGAAGAGGTAGTTTGTATTGCAATAGAGAAAATAATATATACGATAAAAACTCTTTCTCACATACACACGCGCACACACAAATACAGAAACTTTACAAAGGTAAGAAAAAAAAAGAAGTAAGACAATTATCTCACAAAACATTGATAGGTAGTAAAGTGATAGTACTAATACAACTTATAATAAGATTTCGCATCATAACAATAACAAAAAAAAGTATTTATCTACCACGGCCACCGGATTTAGATGAAACTTTATGTTTTTTATTCACATTTCTAGGCTGTAATTTTAAATCAGCCATAATGGAAGAGAAATCAGATAAACGTTGATAATCTTCGTCTTCATCTGTTAGACGAGCTAAAGCTTCATCTAGTGAAATTGTATCTGTTACACGTTGTAAGGCATTGCACATCGGACGAAATTGTGACGGGGTAACATTAGGCGGTTTCTCAAAGTCATTATGACCAACACAATGGTCAGTAGGCGAGAAGGTGGGATTTGCTGCAGCTCTTGGAAGTCGAAGTGGGCAAGGGAGCATTTCAGGCATTACAGTTAAGTGTAAAACAAGACAAGCAAGCGATGGCCATTCTTTATCTAATCCCTAAAATAAATTTTAAAAAATCAGCATGGATTATAAACGAGGATTGAGGATTTTCAAACATAAAAAAGAAAGGATTAACTGTTGTGCAATACAAAGGACCATAATAATCATCTTAAAATATCCAAAAATTATCTTAATCAGTGTAAAAATAACAGTTTAAACGTCGAAAACACGTTTAATAAACAAGAAATCGTTTTACTGAATTACGACACACTGAGTAAGGTTTGCTAGACTGAGATTTATAAAGTAATGAATTTCGAGGATAAATATTTTGAATTCTAGAATGCTAATAACCTGTCAAACAAATTACATTAAGAGTATAAAACCAAATATTTAAATGTTAGAATTTAACTGGCAAAGATGCTACACTAAAAACTATATTTTTTCAATTAAAGGTTGCTTATTTAGTTGTTATAATTCGAATTTGATGAAACTACACATTCGTCCAATATTGTAATTATAACTAGGTACTACCTGGACGATTCCCTATAAACTGAATAGCTTCATGTTATAAAATCACTTATAAGTGATAAAGAGTATCCACTAGTTTAAAAAATTGCAAGGAAAGAACTATGCGGGCATACTATTAGACACTAAGCTCTTTCAATATATATAAGGCTAGAAGAAACTCTATCACTTATTGCTGCTTTCTGAGAGCTTCTGATGTTTATTCATATTTTCCAGTGAACATATTAACTCTGTATTTCTAGATAACCAGTTACTTAATATCGGTCTTTTCGGGATGATGTTTCACTTAAACTTACATATCAAGGTAGCCCAATAGAGTTACGCTGACTGGAACTGCACTTCCTGTGTAAAGAATTGCTGAGTCAAGAAGACCAAAATAAGCTACTCATATAATATACGTGACTCACATTATGATCTATATTTGATGGTAAAATTACACATTCAGTGCTACAAGAATTTAGTAGAACGGTGCTTTCGTCAAAAGACAAGGATTCCCAGTTATTATAGTCCTTTATATCACCTTTCATTACAGCTTACAGTGGTTAGTATAGGATTTTTAAATGACATACAAAACTATAAAATAACTGTCCTTCCCAACAACGTTATGATAAGGCTTTATTCGGTCTTTTCGGGAAAGTAAACTACAAACAACCAACACATACAGTGCGAATTATTTGGCACCAAGTGTTATTCGCATTTCATCTCCTATATAATACATTAGGATAAAATAAATAACCAATAACCCCTGAACTACAGTAACGAATAACTCAGCTAGTATCTATTTGTAATGAGAAATACTTCTAAATGCAAAATGAAATCTATCGATTTGGTAAACCAGGAATATTTTGAAATATAATAAGCACCATTCAGTCTACTTACTTTGAGTTTCACACCACCTCCAGATGTCTTCTGGATAAGAAAGTGAGTTATTCCACTTGTAGAAGATGGATAAACTGATGTCAACTGGGAGGCTGTATCTTTGATTCGATTTCCTGGTATATGTGGTTGTCTAGAATGGAAACAGCCACCAGCTACTTGTCCATTACTAGAACGTACTGATAACGCAAAGCTATTTGGATGACTTCCGCTATCTCGGACAACAAAACTTCCAGGCTATCAATGAAATAAATACATAACTATTTAGACCATGAGTAAAAGATACATCCAAAATAATGATATAGAGATTACACAGCAAAACTTAGTCAATGACAAACTATCAATTACCATTATTCACGAGCAAATTGAAGTCGTAAAAAATCATTTGGTCTTCAAATTGAGATGCATATATATCGTAATCGCAATAGGATACAAAACTATTGTAACAGAAGTGATAAAAATTTAAGTTGTTCATTTAAAGCCTTGTAAAATGAAGGAACTTGTGACAAACTACTTATTTTAGTATTTACCATAGTTGTTGACTTAGTTTTAAATCTTAGAGATACTTCAGTAATGAGTGAGTGTGATCTAGTAACCTACAATTTCGTGCGGTTATTTTTGAGAACCACAAACTGGTGCAAAGAATATCAGGTTTGAAATTACTACTGTATAGTAAGCAATCAGAAGCATGTCTACTTTTTGATGCCGACCGAATTTTACAGATCAATTTTCGCAGCATGGCTGCTAAGCTGTTTAAGTGTTAAGTCTGACAATGACTCGAGTTCCAGATTATCATGGTTTTCTTTTTGACCCTATCAAATATCACGTGGTAAAATCACCAATCGGAATATCGGCTTCTATGATCTTTTCCCTGAGCTAAACCAATTACACCAACTAGCACTAGCGAATGCCATTCTTTGTTCGGATAAAACACCCCCCTTTTTTGAAGATAGGGTGTTCACATGATTTTGCCTGTTTCCATATAAAGTTAGATCCCAATAAAAATATGTGAGTAATTTCGACTTTTCAACATTTTCCTCACCCACGAAACAGTGTTGGATCTTCGTATACTGATGTTACAAATAATGTGACCTTATTAACCTGAACTGAACATTACTCGTGCCTTCATTATATGTGAGTATTCGGGTGTGTAGGTTTAAATAGGGCTTGGATAGTCCCTTTATGCGAACTTCACTTGTATGAGTAATATTAAACATGGTCCTTGTTTCGCCTTCCATATGAAAAATAAGGTCCTCTTATTTCAGTCACAATAAGAACAAGCATGTCTTATATTTCGATCTGTCAATAACAAACTATGTGACTCATTTAAAACATATTTCTCATACCGACTAGAGAATTCACTAGAAGTGACTCTTTTGTGAGGACAAATAACATTTAATGTGGGAAACTATCAGAACTGTAATTAGATTCGAATTCATTCAGGACTTACACCTTACAGTGACCAAAGATTTCATTAAAAACAAATACATTGAGAGAACAAACAACATATGATATGACATAATCAGAAGTTTCACTAGAATTTGATTCTTCTGAAATACACTCCTAAAATTCACTAAGAACTTCATTAGATGTATGTGAATTATTAGGATAACTTATCTCAAGTAAAATAACATGAGAAATCTGATCAGAGATAAGCATCACGTGAACCATAAGTTTGTTTTGGCTGGATTTTAGCATCAGAGTTATGTAGGGTCAGTTCTGAACTTGGAGCTTCATTTACAGAATCTTTTGTTCTTGGTCCTCTGGTACTGCAACAATTCCATGTACATTTAATAAAACGACTCACTAATTGTACATTCTACTTCGGGCATAACTGGTTTCTGAAATGACCATCACTCGACCATTTGGAGGATCGGGTACGACTGCTACTGTATCGTTTACATTACTGCTTGTCAACCATTCCTGAAGCTCCTCGTTGATACGTTCATTTTGAAGGAATTTACCACTTCTGTATGCTATTTAAAGATCAATTCATCGATTTCCGTCATAGTTCTAAAATGTGGATGATTCATCAGCCCTATTTGTAATTTTTCTGTGAATTCCAACCAATTTTTAAAACTGCTGCTAATGCTGAAACAGTGTCGCCGTTTTCTCCACAGAAAGACTTTAATCTTATTTTTCTGTTGCACGTTTTCAAATACTCGGCAAACAAATGTGGGTTTAAAATATTTCAGTAATCCTTATTTCCTGATGAGAGCAGCTGTTTATTGGGTGCAGGATTCTTTTTCAATCATAAATCCCTGCCCTGCAATATTATACATTGAGACTGTTGTTATTGTTATTTTTTCAAAATACCCGTCAATTATTATGGCTTCTTTCCGAATTTCACATCACCAATTGTTATGATTTCCTTTTGACCCTGTCAAATATCATATGACAAAATCACCAATCGGAATATCGACTTTTATTAACTTTCCCTGAGCTAAACCAATGACATACTAACCAGCACTAGCAAATACTACTCGTTCACACAAAAAAACGTGAACTAGAATGACCAAAGAAATATATGTTGTTCGAATAGATACTGCCAGCAAGTGTTTAAAGAGATTTAGTTTGAGTGTTAGGTCTCAATAACAAATATATACTCATCAATGCATTATAAGTACAAATTATTTGCAATGATTAAAAAAACAGATTTTAGGGTAAGAATAATTTAAAAAGTAATTAAATAGCCCTTTCAGACCACTTAGTAATGATAACTATTGTTTTCAATGATAACCTTAGTAATTTAACTAAAGCATTCTATTTAGAATAAATTACAACTGCTCGTAATAAAGTAATTTGGAAGTATATTTAACACATAATCGTCAGCCCCCAAATGCCTTGGTATGGCCGAGAGTGGGGTTGACCCGCCCTCCCTCTTGAAATGCTCTCACACGACCACGCGTATACAGCCTCTTCCAGGGAAGTCCTACTCACTGTCTTCTCGTGGCGGGGGTGTTGTCTACAGAATGAGAGGACGAAAAGCGAATGTCCGGCGCTTTAACTGGATTCCAAACCAATGGTGCACATGGGCTCCAGTATCCTGAGGGAACAAATGGCGTATGAACCGGTTTTATGGTCACCGGCTACCATGGGACTGCATGTCCTCACGATGCTCCACTGCCTTTTGGGTCAGACTTTTAGGTCAAAGGCTCGGGGTGTGGCCTTCTAAGAAAACCAGCTGCTTAGGTCTGGGCACCCGAGCAGTATCACAGCCCACACACAAATAAAATGAAAATGACGATATTTACTGAAAATTCTATTCTCGCATCGATTTACAGTCAGACAATTCACATTATTAGTACTATTATTTACCACGTCAATTATTCACTCTCTTTTATTCCCACTCTGTGTATCCTTATTTTTCGACTTATGCAGCAGCTCGCCTATGGTGGAAACTCGGTTCCATATAAACGTTCTCGAGTCACTGTCCGGTTGAAAATTGTATGCTACCACCAAATACGAATACTGAAGCAGTTTTTCTGAAACCACGTGCACCATTCAAACTGGCTGCCTTCAACGTTCGCACACTTATGCAGGTCGGACAACAGATAGGGCTGGCTATGTCTTTGGAAAGTCTTAATATCGATGTCTGTTTTCTATCCGAGACCCGTATTCAAGACTCTGGCGAAGTACTACAAATTCGATCTCCATCTGTCGCTTCGAAAAGCTTGTTTTACGTGCGCTTATCCGGGGACCCTGTGGCATCTTCGTCTGGTCTCGCTGGCATTGGTGTCGCACTGAGCGCTAGAGCTGAGGCAGTACTAATCGATTGGATCCCCATTAACAGTCGGTTATGTGCTGGTAGATTAGAAAGTTCCATCAAAGTGAGAAGAAATCGGCGTGAGAAACGATGTCTTTTCGTCATCTCCGCCTATGCCCCGACAGATTGCAGCCCGGATGCAATCAAGGATGAGTTTTACCACCAGTTATCTGTTCTTCTCCAGAAAGTGCGTTCGACAGATATTGTAGTACTAGCCGGAGACTTGAATGCTCAGGTCGGGCGTCTAGGCACAGAAGAGAGTCGTTTAGGTGGCCGATGGGGACTCGTTGGTCGCTGGTCAGATAACGGGGACCGTCTACTGCAACTTTGCACAGACCACAACCTGTTTCTGGATAGCACTAACTTTCGGCACAGTCATCGCCGATGTGCCACCTGGCGTCCTCCCTCTGCATCTCAAGCCTGGACTCAGATTGATCACATCGCGATCAGCTACCGCTGGCGTGGTTGTGTACAAGACTGCCGCTCCTTTTGGAGTACCTATCTGGACTCTGACCATGCCTTGGTCTGCGCCAATCTTGCCTTACTTTTCAGTGGACAACGAAGTGAACGCCATCAACGGATTGATGTTAGCAAGCTGGTTGCAACTTCTGTTGCTAGTAAGTATCGAACCGAGCTAGTTTCTAGGCTAGCTACTATTCCACCGAAAAGTATAGATGAGTATTGGTTGGAATTGCATGACGCCATGAAAATAGCGGGTACAGTCAGTTGTGGGTTCGCGAAACGTCTCGCTTATAAGCACTGGGTTTCTTCAGGTTCCTTACAACTCATCGAGACCCGTCGGTCTACTCCGGGTGACCGTGAGTTTGACCACAAACAAAGGCTGTTACGTAATGAAATTGGACAAAGCTTCCGTAAATACCGAGAAGCCTGGTGTTCGGAGCGTGCTAATGAGCTAGAAGCAGCAGGTGCATCTGGTAACTACCGGGAGCTCTTCCAACTCATCCGAGCCACTGGCGGCAAGAAGTCTGGTGTGAGCGAAAAAATCTGCGAGGATGATGGGATGCCAATCACTAACATCCATCGATGTCTTGGACGGTGTGCAGAGTTCTTCGAAGGGCAGTTCGACCGATGTTGCTGGACCAGCAGGTCTGTTGAACTGCCATGCCCTCCATGGACGGTGACGACTGATCCAACAAATGAGGCGGAACTCTATAAGGAACTCCAACTCTTGAAGAGTTACAAATCACCGGGCCTAAATGACTTACCTCCGGCTCTTTTTAGAGATGTTGATGACTTTCTGGCAAGTGGACGTTTTTTACAAAGGTCTGGGAGCTAGAGAGTGTTCCAACGTCATGGAATGAGTCGATAGTTGTCCCTATCTTTAAAAAGGGTTCACGTCGTTCCAGTAACAACTATCGGGGGATAAGTCTACTTCCGATTGCGTCCAAACTATTGGCTTCCGTCATACTTCGTAGGTTGTTCAAAACCCGAGAAAGATTGACTCGCGACGAGCAGGCTGGTTTTCGTTCTGGTCGAGGATGTATTGATCATATCTTCACCCTCCACCAAATGTTAGAACACCGTCATACTTATCGCAGGCCAACAATCGTAGTGTTTCTTGACATAAGGGCTGCCTTCGATTCGTTGGACAGGACTGTTCTCTGGGATTGTCTATTGAAGGAGGGTGTGCCTGAGAAGTTTATTAAAATCTTAGAGGCCTTATATACAAACACCTCAGGCAGACTGAGGGCATACAACCACCTCTCTCCATTGTTCCATTCGAGTAGTGGGGTTAGGCAGGGTTGCCCAATCTCACCATTCCTCTTCAACTTTGCCATCGATGACATTCTGGAAACAGCTCTGATGAATGTTAGTAATGGCGGTGTGGATCCGTTGCCTGGAGAAAAACTTCTCGACCTTGAATATGCGGACGATATTGTCTTATTGTGCGATAATACCCAAGGCATGCAATCCGCACTTAATCAGTTGGCAATCAGTGTCCGTAGGTACGGTATGTGCTTTGCACCTTCGAAGTGCAAAGTACTTCTACAAGACTGGCAGGATTCTAATCCTGTACTCACCCTGGATGGTGAGCAGATAGAAGTAGTCGAGAAGTTCGTGTATCTGGGTAGCTGCATAAGTGCTGGTGGGGGTGTGTGATGAGATCAATGCACGTATAGTGAAAGCCAGAGTGGCTTATGCCAATCTGGGCCACGTTTGGCGCCTTCGTGATGTTAGTCTGGCTGTAAAAGGTCGGATCTACAACGCGTCGGTGAGAGCAGTTTTGCTCTATGCTTGTGAAACCTGGCCTCTCCGAGTTGAGGACGTTAGACGACTATCTGTATTCGATCATCGCTGTCTCCGAAGGATTGCTGACATTCAGTGGCAACACCATGTCAGTAATGCAGAGGTTCGGCATTGTGTGTTCGGGCACAGAGATGATAATTCAATTGGTGTCACCATCTTGAAACACCGACTTTGGTGGCTTGGACATTTTCTCCGAATGTCGTCCCAGAGAATTCCACGTCGTGCATTATTTGCCGACTCTGGGACTGGTTGGAAAAAGCGAAGAGGTGGTCAGTGTATGGCATGGTGTCGTGGTATGAAAGAAATCTGCAAAGGGCTGGTTTCTGTTGGTCCTTCACGACTCCCTGGCTGGGGTCCGAGAGATGGTACGACACAGTGGCTAGAGACATTATCAGATATGGCTCAGAATAGAAGCCAGTTACGATCCTGCTGTAACATCCTTTTTTTCTCCATAAAAATTGGTTGTATCTTCCTTAACCGAAAGAATTCTTCTAATTGTACCTTTCCTTTTTCCCCATTATTATTATTATTACTACACTACCCTACACTAATCTGGTCGTTATTGCTCTTCTTTTTTCCTTTTACTCTCCCTACCTTCTTTTTCTGTCTTCCCTTTCTCATTGTTTTGTGTGGCGCATACATATTTGGTGCGCACTTGTACCAATATTTATGTGTTCAAATAAAATAAAATAAGAATAACATAATCTTCATAACAGAACTATTTCCGATAGTCCACGGTATGATAGTGAGGCAAACTGTTGGTGGGATGTAGATTAAAGTACGTTCCGTGCAGGATTATTTTGGGGCACATCGATTGGCTATTTCTTATCCAATCAGCGCTAAAGGATACCTGAAGAAGACTCTAGAACCTTCCCGTGTTAAAAAAAAACTATAAATATACTAATGTTTCTCCTATTGCGATTCCTACTTCCATCTAGCCTTTTTATTTGCAATATAATTGCGTTCCTGTTCAACCGTGTCCTAATTTGGGGACTTGCCGAGCGAAGCAGTGTCCAAGAATACTAAGCAATAGGAGTAGCTGGATTGTAACACGATAAATTATAACACAAACAAAACCCATGCAAAAATGTATATGGAGGATAAACATACAGGTTGTTTGGCAAGCATTTCCAAAGCCTTTTCACGTGGTAAATCTGGAAGATACCAAGGAGCATGCGACAACTCATTGATATCATCTGGAACATTTTGTGTAGGGACGTTTGGAGTGGAGCACGGAGATGTGGGAGGAACGGGAAGGTGCTGTTCAGTGGGTTTCAGCAACTGATTCGAATCTCCAGGATGCGGATTATTATCAAATATTGAGCACGTATGTTCACCACTGGTGCAACCTGGAGTACATGTACAACGTTTGCTAATCGGTAAACTATTATCAGAACTGGAGTCAGGATGACCAGAGCCAGATGTAGCGGTTGAGCACCCAGTAGTTGATGATGACGTCGTTGTTGCTGTAGACGTATTGGCTGGAGCACTATCATTGATAAATTCAGCGTTACTTTCTTGCATATCTTTTTCTGGAATAGGAGTTTCTTTGTCAGGAGCGATACCACCACAGCTGCGATGATCAGCCATATCATAGAAGTGTTGTGCCAGTCTAAGTGATATTTAAGAAGAAAAAAACCAAATTGTTAATATAAATAAGATTAATCAAGTTTGTAATAAAATTTTACTATTTTATTAGTTTCATATGTAGGGAGACAAATCGATTAACACTGAGTAGCGGATAAGCCTTATACGGAAGTAAAATGTGATTCGTACTTCGGTTACATTATTCGTTTGCTGTCTGTTCCTCCCACTTGAAACATAACAGTTAGAACCAGCGGTCTGATTTTTGAGCGTTTTAACTGTTAAGCGATTGTTTCTGGACAATTAATTAGAATTTAATTTCCTTATTCAGTAAAAAGTTGTCAATAAGAAATCATCATAATACTAAAGAAAAGTTATTGTCCTGACGTAAGGCGAGGGAATTCATACAGCACAAATGATTCTATCATATTCTTCATCGATGTAATAAAAAGGAGAAAAGATTCGTAAAAAGACATTGAACTTACGCAGATGTCGTAGATTTAGGTCTTAACGGTAAAACCTCAGTAGGATCTTCAGTCATTTCATGTGGGATTTTATTTACTTCCATTCCGTGTAATTTTTCATGATGCTTTAAAATTGGGCTTTGTTGATTTGCAGCTGGGGTAGATGTGATATTCTTAGTTGACAGCTGCGTAGATGAAGTTACTGATGAATGAGAACGCGGTGGTGGGGGAGGTGGCTTTATCTGTTCACTCTTCATTATGAGTCCTTCCGATTCATTAACTTTAATAGTAGGGTCAACAGAGTCGCTCGAACCTAAAAGTTGTTCACACGTACTTGTTGTTGCATCTCGTAATTTATGACGATGATGATGCTTGTGATGTTTATGTCTGTAAAAAATAAAAATAAAAAACAAATGTAAGGGTAGGAATTGCAACAAAATCTAAATACTCATGTGTTTTAAGACTGTAAGGTCCTTCCAAGGACTGAATAACAGATGGCAACAATAATGTTGGTAAGTTACTATTCATCTCGTTACACTGTGAATGTAGAGGTTCTGTACAAGACTCGTACACAGGTCAGATAGTACAAACGTAGGTATTTAATGATTCTATGAAATAATTTTTAAGATAAGCATAAAACAACTTGAAAAGGCACCAACAACAACAACCAAACTTCGTAAAATATATCCCAAAGAAGAATAACACTATTTCAAATTAATGAATTTCAGTGAAAGTGAAAACTTGACTAACGAAATGGGAATTTCTAGACATTACTTTAACTTAACACCATATTTTGAATAAAATGTAAACCACTCTTTCAAAAACAGAAATAAAAAATGGAAACCTTAAATAATCGGTAATTTGATAGGAAACGTTTATTTCACGCAGTAATTGATTCCCACTGAACAGGTACAATCTTGTTTACTAGACTTTGAGTTACATTATTAGTGTGAGCGGTAGTGATACACCTCAGGTGCTCTGATAAAGGTAGAGGTAGAATTTTAACATGAAATCTACTGGCCAAAAGCCCATCACATAACCACTAAGCCATCTCATCATCTGACACAGTATACATAATACAACCAGAAGCATTTCTAAGGTGAATGCATTAACTTAGGTTTTATATACGGCTGATAAAAACTATTTTAACTAGACTAAATATATTATTTATGTAACTTATTTTTAATGTGAAAAAACTTCGTTTCGACAAAGTAGTTGATAAATGACTCATGAGGTAGGCAATGACTCCATGCAGGCCGATTTTAGGAGATAAAGCTGCACTCCTGAATACAATATCAGCAGATTACGGTGACTAACTTTATGATATTTGGCGATATTATCAAAATATATTAGTGAAATATCGATTTACGAATGATCAGAATTTAGAATCATAAACCCACAAATTAAAATAGAAATATCAGTTACCAGTCGAAAGATATCAGCAACACAAATAGTTATCAGACACTTAGTAAATAACAATTAGTGTGTAGTACACTTGTAGTGAACGAACGCTCAGGTGGAGACAACCAATTTATTATTCAATGCAAAATTACAGAATTCTTTCATAAAATATGAAAACCACATATTAAATACTTAATTTGCAAATCCTCCATCGATTGTCCTTCACAACCTTCATGATTTCTCCATTTCACAATTCCTTTCTGCTTTTTCTATTGCAATCTCTTCAACCTTCTTTTAACAGGCATTCAACTTCTGATTGGTGTTACATACTACTTATGTCTGTCGACTAAATAGCACCCACCACACACAATGGAACTTTATGATAACCATCACAGTACAAGGAGGCGCCAAATACATATGCGCCACACAAATCTCATTCGATATGGGTGAGGGCTGTGATACTGCCCGGGTGCCCGAACCGAAGCAAACTGTTTGGAGGACGACGACAGATAATTACTATGACAGATAAGAATGAAGCCTAGCAATTTGGAATTGTGAAAAAAATTAATTGGAACACAATAACCGCTTATACGTCAGTATTTTTCTGACACTTTCTCAATCGATATTCGTTTAGGATTAAAAAAAATACGATCTAATGCACTATAAGACGCGTGACAACTAATACCAGTCCAGACAATGCGTATCCTAATTTTCTATTGAAAATCTGAGCTTTTTAAGTCATTTGAACAAAAGTGTCTTATAGAGAGTAAGGTCAGTAAGTAAACAAGCAAAGCTCAAAAGAAACATTTCGAAATGTTGGGTCAATAAGCTACCACATAATTAGTACTAATAATTACTTATGAGGTTTACTTCCTCTCTGTCTATCACCGACAGCACAAACTTCACTTGATGGAATATTGTTCACTTCAAACTGGACAGAAACAGGTGTCTGGTTAGTTGCTGCACAATGATCAGCTTCTGGTAAAGGCGGAAGAAGTTTGCTAGGCATGGATATTTGACTGGTCGGATTTACGTTGACAGCGTAGACAGCTTGACTGAAAAACAAATAATGATAAACGAACCTAACGTAAAACTTTATTAATGCAATGAAACAAGTTAATAGGATCATAGGAAACAGATATCAACCAACAAATTGGGGTATATCAATGTATAAAAAAACAATGTGATCTAAATAACTAAATTAAAAATTTAAATTAATATAATTAATTAACGGAGTAAATGTCTGTATACTTGCCTTGAGTTATATTGTTTTTGCGAGGATTATTGGTACCACTAGGTTGTCGAAATCGAGGTAAATGGGACAGTATTTCAACATGCAACCTACTGGTTGAAAGTACTTCAGTAATTATCCCACAGCTCTACTAACTTAAACAACTAGCCATTATGTCTATATTTTAACAGGTAATTCTCATTTTGGATATTTCATTTTTAGAAATACCATAATTTGAATGTATAATCTATCGCGAAAAGAGATCAGCTATAATTGACTTTCGTAGCATTTATTATTCCACTTAGGCACTTGTGCTTGTAGTTCTATTAATTGAAATAATTTGGAAAATAAAGCCATCAAATATGACAATGACAAAGGTTAAGACTGAGTGTGTGAGACATAAGGATTACAGGTATTGACAGTAGTGTAGAAAACTAAAAACGGAAGACATATTTGTTTCAATGACTGAAATTGAATGAATCTACTAGAACCATCAAGTAAACGATCATAAAGATCATGGATTATCTAACAGTGTTATCAAGGGATATTTACTTGAACGAAACGTCAAAGTGAGACTATATACCCTTAACTTGATCGTTATGTACCATTGATGCCAGCGAAGTTAATAAGTAAAGCTACCTTCGTAGCTAAGGCACCAAATTTCTGAAACTTTTTGCCGTTATTGAAATTAATGGTTTTAGACTGAGACCAGAGTGACTTGAAAACCCTTAATTTTAATGCCGGTCAGCGTTATAAGCAACGTAAGAACTTATCATAAATGTGCACTTGCTCAATTTCCCATGAAATATCAACATAGTATCAATCAAAAGACCATACTGATTGTTCTCGGGAAATAAACAGTCTAATATCTGAGTAGTTGCCTCCAAAGTTTTTATAGATAACTAAAGATAAAACATTATCTAGATAGCCCGGTCGAAAGCGAGAAGTTTATAAAATAGTGAATGGTCTGCACCCGCTTTTATTCATCTCGTATTGCTGACTTAAATCCACGACTTAACTGAAAAAAAAACTAAAATCCGGTAAGTCATAGTGTAATTCAAGCCACAATTTCAATCTTTATTTAATTATATAAACCGGCAATAATATTCTACAAAAGTAAAGAGAAGAGTAAATCCAGAATACCAACCTTGAAGATTTTGTGCTCACTGAGTTATCCTGGTTAGCAGAAACAGAACATGTGACAGTTATGGGAGCTTTCTGAACCTGACAAACTGGTATATGCTTACCAAACTGATGAAACAAAACAGGATTGTTAGATACTGTATGAAGACGTTGCTGGGCATACGCTAAGCGAAAAACCTCTCCCATTATGGTATTCAGTTCCTCGGCCTACAAAAGTTCGAAGGTACTTTTTGTAAAATGTCACAGAACTTCATATTAACACAGAAAGGGAAAAAATACACACAGGTATACAAATACGGTGTGGGAAAAAAGTGAATCCTACAAAATGTTAAAGGCTAAGAATACATAATTTATTCAAAATACACTAAAGGCAGTTAACCTGTTGCAGCACCGTAAAACTTTGAACCTCATCGATTTTGTTTCTAGGTTGAACAGCATGCAGATACCAGTGAAAATGAATCAACGTTTGATTGCCTGAAATTTTTTTATACATATCTGCATTGTCATCTTTTATTTCCGTTTATCAGAAAACGTTTACAACAAGTAAGTGGTGAGATGATGGATGAGCCCATAAGCTTCGCATCTTACAAGCTCTGAAAAATTACATCCTGATTTAATACGACTATACAATTGGAATGCTTTACAATTTACAGAATTAACGGGTTGATGGCTGAAGTCCACAGTAGCAATCATCGCCCATCATGAGGATGACTTAAACCGAAAAATTTAATCAATAAGATGAGTGAGTAAATATATCCGCCTTTTAAAACTAAAAAGTTGAACTTTGGTAAACATACCAGATGTTAAGCAGAAATCTGATAAGCACATATACGTATTAAAACCATTTATCTAGAATAACCTGGTTAGGATGGAGAGGACCGAAACTTAGAAAGATGAAACTGTCAAGTGTAACTTAAGATTACAGCCATAAATATATCGGCCATTGAAAGCTTCTTAAATCTGCATATACATATTAATTAAAACCTGTTTTATCAGCTATGCAGCACATGTTCGACATACGTGGTAACTAAAGTCATTACAAATTGTATCAAAAATACCAATCACATAAACATGAAACCGATTCTCATCAATTTCATACGTTTGTTCCGACGGAATTGAATTATTCACACTATTTTTTCTGTGTTTTGGAACACCTTTACGTCTTTTATTTTGCGTTTAACTACAAGTACAAAGCAGACAAGTTAGCAGATTAAAAAATTATTATCGCCATGCTGGATATGAAAGATGATAAATAAGACACCAAGGTGCTAAAAGCTTACTGCTTCAGGTGTTATAGTGACGAATGCATGACAATATTGGACATTCGGTTGTGCTTTTGGTTCCCTGGCAAGGAAGGCAAACTGAAGATTTTCTGGGTCACAGGTAGCATACGAAATTCGTCGAAGTGCATGAGCCATATAAACGCGCTTCCAAAAGCATAGGAAAAAACATTGAATGAAATTACGAGATGTCAAACAAAGTTAAGAAATTACATTCTTTTACACTAGTTACATCGAAAACAAGATACACATTGAAATTCGCCATAAACCTCACCTCCTTATTTTCATGACAAACTTTAACTCCACTTAAAGATATCAGCAAGATAATTGGTTTACTGTGGGTATATTTCTAAAACAAAAAAATAAGAATATAGTTAGTTAAATGATGGAAAGTATGATTCATTTCATTTCCAGAGTATTGTTGGTTAATATCAGACCACAGACATAAAAAGACGGAGGAACTAACGCCATGTTACACACTGTATCAATTTAAGAGGACCTTGGCAGAAAACCTTGACTAAATTCTGGTTATTTAAAGTAGACTGAAAATCCGTTTTAATCGCCCCAAAACTTGAAAATGACAAAGTGATGATGCATCAAATTCCAACATGCGACCCTTAATATCTTTTTATAGTACCAACAAATCAAAATACATGTCGGTATTTAGATACCTTCTTTCATGACTGTAAAGACAAGCTCACATTCCGTACTTCCTAACACAATCAAGAGGACTCACGGTTTTAGTGTATTTTGGTGGAAAGTCTAACTACAACCTCAATACCCTGAATAACTGACAACTGAAATAAATTACAAAACCAAGTCTGCAAATCTATGAATTTTCTAACATAAGCGCGTCACTTTCTTATAAATATATACCGCAAGCTTCTAAATTTGGGACAAAATTAATCGACTTTGAGACAACTCTATTAGAACGTTTGAGCACACTTTGTCAAAAGTCAACTGAAAATCCCAAGATCTACCCACATGTAGGATTTCTATTAAATTCACCCACTTTCCCAGAGACTGGAACTTCCGCTTGAGCGACTTTTAGAAAAAGGTTAGCAATTTCGGGCAAACCCCACGACAGAAATTTGGTATTATGCAACTGAAACTTTAGATTTTCCTCTGGTTTTCTCCAAAATTTATTATTTTGGAGAAAACCCTAAAACTTCCCAAAAGCCGGGAGATTGAGTTCTTCCCAAAATTTGCTAAAACTCTTCCCAGGCCTGCGATTTTGTCCAAAAGTTCGCCCAAAAAATGTTTCAGGATCCGCAGCTTTGAGGGAAAAGTGACAAAAAGTACGTCATAAATATTCATGTGATCAGGAATTCCCTTCCTTGAAACAAATTTTTCCAACTTACGCGAGCCGCTTCCAACTTTTGACGCACTATTTCAGCTCTTTCGTGATGATCTTTACCAGAAACAAGGAACGAACCTATATACTGAATGCATATATACACTAAAAGTAAAATAGAAGCTACATCTGCAGGGCGCAAAATCGGTTCCAAACATTCCATCAGCATTATAGTATTCTAAATATCCTAAGACTTCGCATTCTCCAGACTCCTTTGATAACAATTTCCTAACCCTTTACAATCTAATGTGATGAAAAGTATTCTACATAGTAGTATCAAGTGTGATACTCCTAACAAGGTAGCGAACCAATCGTAAAACTGCGCTCTATAGTAGTCAAAAGTAGCCAAAACTTTCTTATAAGTATTTGAGATCATTAAACAGTTCTCAACTGTTATTTGATGAAGAAAACATATAAAACACTTCAGTTATACGACAGAAGAAATAAGGTGTTCAGGGTTGTCACGGTCTTACTGTGTCTACATTTCAATCTCAACAAACAGAAACGCCGATCTTCCTCTTTTCTGAATTGCTAAACTATCCACTGTCCCGTTAAAGGAACGGGATTTCATGTTCTTTGACATAGGATATAGAAGCACGACCTCATCACACAGTATCACTTCAGCTTCCGATGGTAACGATAGTAGGTCGGTTGACATGTGTTAACTCGTGTAGATTGTTGTCTTGTGGAGGTACAGCTTCTCTCTTGAAGTTTTTCCTTATGATGCTGATATCAATTGTTCCAGTAAGTTGTTATCATCCGTGACCACTTGAAGGTTAAGATTGAGTCTCACTGACTTTATTTGATCACGGTTTGGGAACCTTCTTACTGTGGCCTCGGAGATGATTATTTCTGAGACCAAAAAGATAGCACAGCTCAATACTCAAATCATCTTCTGGGGTACGAAATTTCATTATAAGGTCGCCAAGCATCAGAGAAGTTTTCAATATTTTGATCCCTCACAGTAGAAGAGCTTAGGAAGACCCGTCACTAACCTAATTCTCACGTAACGAACATGTTGAAGTGTTTGGTGACTTAATTAAAATATGGATTAGCTGCGTGGAATCAATATTTTGAGTGAAATGTCACGCAAGCGGACATAAAATCCGAAGCATAACTTCGTCAAAGCATTATAACGCTGGTTAGGTGACCAAAGTACTCGAAGCCGTTTTCGAATATTGGCTTCCTATTACTACTAGGTTTTTTCGTTCGTTTGATGAGATTTGCCATCGATAGTACGTGAATTATCATTTTTGCGCCCAATGTAAATTAGCATGCTTTTTCTAGAATTATTTCATAAACTCAAACTCTTAAAGTGACTGAAGTGATTGAACAACAGCTTCGTCAGTAACAGAGACTGGTTCGAAAGCTGGTATCTTAACAGTGTAGCAATGGTAAGTATTAATAACTATTCACCCAGATTATAATTCACAGAAATAGCTTATACTATATCGGATTTCTTCGAGATATCCGGAATTCCGCCGCCATATTTTGTTCTTCGCTTAATGGATGAGAGAATCTTTCTTGACTAATAATAATATATGAATAATAATACATTTCTGCAATGGTAGGTGCAGGCCATTTTTACAGGCTGGCTGGTTGATTAGTTTATCTACCTTATGCCAACTGCGTTTCTTGAGTAACGCGAGATCTAGATAGGGCCTGTTTCACACACTCCGGATTTTTCTGTACTTGCACCTACCAGTTCATGGGAAGTGGCGTGATAGCTCACGTGTTGATCATGGGATGAACAATCTTGTTATGGCCTCCAATGTGGTTTCGAACCTACTCTATTCTTATTTGATTAGTTCAATTACATCAACCAACCAATTTACTGAGGAATCATAATCTCTGACTGCCGTGATATTAGGCCACAGATACTGGGACAGGGTGTAGTAAATGCTTACTGCATGTTATGTGTCCAAAATCCACAGTACAACACAACATATGTATACTCAAAATTCCATCTGCTAAAGACTCCTTTGTCATTCAACTCAGTCACAAGAAAGCTGTTTCTGTCTCGAAATGGGATTAAGGAAGACCGATAGCAAATTCACTCGAATTAGCGAATGTGCCTATAGTATTCTAATTGTCGTATGAATTAGGAATTCCAGGATTAACGCAATTGAATTAAGAAGACACAGGCAAAACTAATGTACTGTATTTAGAATTCGAAATCGAGCATTCAACAAGTACAAAAGAATCATTAGTTAATTCAAACACCACATCCGCCACAGCTTAAATAGAAGTATAAGTGTTTGTAATCGGTTGTACGTCTTCTTGTTAAGTTCATCCTGAGTCTGTCCGACATTGTATAAGATAAAAACTTTGTAGTATCTAGAAAGTGCTCATTAGTATTGGAATTAACAAACGAAATCGGAACAGACTCACCTGAAATTGTATACAACCAGCATGTCGGTTTTGTAATGAAATCATTAATATCTAGAATTCGAACCATAGATTTTTCAACACTATCCCCTCTCACGAAATAATGTTGGATCTTTATACTCCCAAGTTATGAATAATGTGGCTTCATTTAAAACATATATCTCACATTGTTTAGAGTAAACATTAGAACTGTTTTTGTGATTAGAGTAAACAGCAGTTGATATGAAATCATCCGAAATATAATAAAACTCGAGGTCACTTAGTACTCGTGCTTCGCATTGGGCAGGTTTTTCACGAAGATCAAATACATTATGAGGATAGGTAATATATGATATGACATCAGGATTTGATTCTTCTGAAATATTCTCATGAAATTCATCAGGACTGTCGTTGCAGAGCGTAGGATCGTTAGAGAAATCAGCATCTATCCAAACCACATCAGGTTTTCGATCATGATTAGGTTCATTTAACATATTTTCCTCAGAATTGCAAGTAATTTCATTAGAAATATGTGAATCATTAGGAAAAGTCATACTTGGTACAATAGCATGAGAATTCTGATAAATCGGTTGATTAGGAAATGTTGTCTCACAAGAATTCTGGATTTCATTTAACTCTGAACTGCCATATGACTCTGCACTGTCTTTTGAAATCGTTGATAAAGATAAATGATCATCATGAATACTCGACTCAGTAGAATCAGAATTACAAGACTTAATATTAATTGCAGTAAGATGAACATTAGCATTACAAACTGACTGAACTTGTCCAATATCACGACATTTGAAGCATTTAGAATTATGAAATTTACATGAATTAGAAGAGTGGAACTTGCAACAGGACAAACACTGACCAAACTTGTCCCCATCCTCGTGAACTGCATCCAAATTCGATGAATTGTCTGCATAACCTTGAGTATGCACTAGGTTGAGATGACGTAGTAATGTAGTGGACTTTTTTATATCCTCATGAATCATTTTACGAAATCTTCCTCCTTTACGACATTTGAAATTTGTATACTGAGCATAGTCTAGCAGTAGATCCTTGAGAGCTGTATAAGAAAGCGAAATGGGTTTTTCCGGCATAGCCAGAGTTCTTAATAAGCTGTATGCTTCTTTTCCAATGAATGTGAGGAAGTGTGCCACAATATTAACATCCTCATCATCTTCCTTGGTCATAGCCCAGATTTCGAACCTTTCAAAGTAATCTTCAAAAGCTTCTGAAGTTGAATGAATATCTAACTTTTCCATTGCAGGCTCCATCGCGACGCCAATATAGTATTCTAATTGTCGTATGAATTAGGAATTCCAGGATTAACGCAATTGAATTAAGAAGACACAGGCACAACGAATGTACTGTATTTAGAATTCGAAATCGAGCATTCAACAAGTACAAAAGAATCATTAGTTAATTCAAACACCACAGTGCCTTAATTTTTCCCCATGTAAATTCCATATTTTCTGTGTTTCGCAGGGGAATTGAGGTGATATAATCTCTCCACGCCAATAGACTGATTTACGTTTTAATACTAAGCTACATCTAATAGTAAATACATTTAGGATGGAACATGGGTGTGGCCACATATAGGTTTTTCCCAAATTTTCAGGAAACAGTCAATAAACCTTCTATAGTCTCCCGAAAGAGTATTGTACATTTACTTTGGTTCTAAAAACAATGCAAACAATCTCTGTGGGGGTTAATTGACGATCACTTCCACATCTTCCAATTATTTATTTTCATCCTTAAGATTCAGAAATAACGCACCAAGAGTCAAAATTTCCCAACTTCAATGATGCATTCGCACCACACTTCCTACAAATCCTAATTGACTGTACCAGTAAACGAATAAATTTTCAAAGCAATTAATTTATCCTTGATAGTGATACTATGTTGATGCTACTGTACATACCCTTCGCGATCGACTGAGCATCTACGTCAGATAGAGTTTGACTATGTTGTGCTATTTATAGCTCACGACAAATTATCAATTAGGAATACATACACTTTAACAAACTGAACTTAATTAAAATAGACATTCACAGCCCCATTTCTAGACTTATTTTTTACTGGGCTTAAGAATAGTTGTATGAAAAGAGACTGTAAATAGTACTGCATTGTAAACCACGTTAAAACAGTAATAATCTTCAGAATTAATTGTTTGCTTATTATAATTGTTGGGGTTAGGCTATAGTACTTTCGACCAAAGGCCTTATTCTCTACAAAAACACGACGCAGAACTGCACATGTCACGCTTTAATTTGAATTTCGTGCAATTATCCACAAACTAATTGAAGAGACAACAACCCAGATGTGTCTCGCTTGCCATGAGACAAGAGACCTGAGAAGTTTGACTCTTCCACGAGTTAAGAGGTATTCTAATTATGATTGTCGGGATACTAAGAGATTACCTTAGTAATGATACGTCGCTTTTTCTTCCAGCCAAAGATGTCAGATCAAGTCAAATCAGAAGTCGGAAATAAAGATATATTTGGAAAGTTGTTCATATACCTACAAACGTTTGATATGAGCTTACTAGTCTTTGCAAGGTATGTGTAGAACGGTGAATTTGTGTGGATGCGTAATGGACAGCCTTCACCTAAGGTATTTCCATCAAGACCAATGAGTTCAGCTTCAACGTTGGAGAAATACAGAACTATTTATTTTATGCCTTTATCTGACCCTACAGCTCACTTCACACGTAACAATGTAGTGGTGCCCTAAAGCGTGGCCAGCCAGAAGTTTAAATACAACTAGCTTACCGTTGATAAACACTCGTTTGATAGGTCGACATGTTCAGTGGCATATGATCATCTTTTTCTAATATTAGTGGCCATGTGTTGCAATGCAACTCACACAGAAAAGAATTATTTACTTACGCTTATTACGCCTCGTGAAAGAGCATAGGCCGCTCACCAGCCTTCGCCATCCAACCCTGTCCTGGGCAATCGTTTCCAGCTCTTTCCAGTTGTTATTCATTTTTTCACGTTTGTTTCTATTTTCAGACGCAATGTGTTATTTGAACTTCCTCTTTTCCGCTTCCCTTCAGGATTCCAAGTTAGGGCTTGCTTCGTGATGCAGTTTGATTATTTGTTTTCAATGATGTTTTGATGATTCTGGATCCGCGAGGTTTTCATCCTACAAGTGCATTTCGTGCTATTTTGGACGGCATAAGAGCAAATCCCTGAGTGTGTGGAGCATTTTCCTCTTCATGACTGGAGTTCAGTAGCATCTCCCCCGTATTTAGCCTTTTCTGTCCAGCTTGTATCCAATGGGTTTCGCTGATTCCCAATACTACCAAGTTGTATCTCCTCATTTCCGTTGCTATTTGACTGATCTTGTCGGTTCCCCACATTGTCCAGAAGATCCATGTACCTATAAAAATTGTTTCTCTGGTTGTTAGAAGAGGCACCGGCCTCGTGGCTTCCTAAGGAGTTCGGCTTTCATCATGAGGCATCATATTTCTTCTAAATAAAAACCTTCTAACTCCCAGGACAGAGTTTAAATGGTTTGAACCGTTTTTTAGCGAGTTAGTTTTCTACGGGCTAAGGTCGCTAACTCCATGCCCAACCCTCCTCCTTTACCCGGTCTGGGACAGGCATTACCTCTAGAAGAGCTACAGGCGATGTTACAGAAAAGAATACCGGAGAAAAAACAATTGCTTTGACACATTAGTTTTAAAAAAGCCGAGAGTACAACCAAATAATATTGGTGCGCAGAAAATAAGATAAAATAAATATTTAAGCGATGTCCTACATGCAATAGTCGTTTAAGTGTTCTCGGGACCGTGTAGTTTAACCGGAGCGCGTTGTTCATGGCCAGTTATCAGATACCAGAGAAGTTATGTCGTGATCATTGGTTACCAGGGATGGGGTCACGGTTTTGAGTTTGTTGTCGTTCAATTATTCAGATGGAAAGTCGACATAATCGGTGGTTCCTTCTAAGTAAAAGGCCTTAAGACTATCAGTGTTGATGTTGCCGTTAGTTCCATTCTAGTCTATGGCATAAACATGATGTTTGAAGTGACAAACTTTGAAGTGTCTCTCTCGTATTGCGTTTCGAGTGATCGTTGTAATGAGTAGTGGTTTGCCAGAACGTATGCTCTCAATCGTAAGTCGAGTTTGACGGAACGTCAGTTGACTGTGGTCGAGTAGAAACACGTTTAACTGAATGCATAGTGTTTGTAAGAACGCCCATGTAGAATTGTAGATCCAAATTTAGCGGAGATGATGAAGGATCAACAAATTCGTCTGAAAGTCAAAGAGTCATTCTGTAAATGTGTTGTACTTTGTTGCAACCAACGTCAGCTTTCATTACATTGCAAATATGAAGTAACATGAGTGTAAGAGCGTCAGACTACAATGTACATTTGTAGCTTAGAGTGACGTTTTTGACTGTCGTGAGATCTTTCTATAAAACCATTATTTGGTGGGTGGTAGGCGATTGTTCAGAATCATATGGTTCTTATTAGTGTAGCAAAACAACGGAAAAGTTCAAATTCGAACTGGCGTCTACGGTCTGTGTAGTAGTGGTAGTCACTTTACGAAATTGAGGACGTTTGTTCCAGCAGTACTATCCTTGATAGGTATTTCTTCTCCTTGTCATACGAAACGGTTCACGCACTTTGGGAAGTAAAAGTATCCACTTGGGTCTCATAGGAGTACTGCCAAAGAATGATCGAAACAAGCGTGATGGGTTGCAAAAGAACCTAATGGACATTCGTTGTGCCTAAACACTCGAGATTTCCGAAAATTACACAGGAGTATGCTACTCTCTCACGTCTTCAATCATATTAGGCAGTAAAAATCATTGTTATGAGCGGGATGGTAGTTCAAACACTTTCTGTCAGATATTTCGTACAATTTATTGAAGACGTTGCGTCGATATTGTTTCGGCACGATTGGACGATCCCTAACTGTAGATGTGTCACAAATTAAAGTTTCCTCACTCGTTCGTATGTTTGATTGGTAGTTTCCGAGCTGCAGAATGCAAATCCTGCTGAAGATCATTGTCTACTTCTTAGTCTCATCATGTTTGGGAATTTTGATCCTTCAGAATCTGTTTTATGTCGTTATCCGGGATAAAGCGTCTGTCCCTAAATTGTTTGCACTAAGAGTAATTTGCATATCTGAAGTAAACTACGAAATGTAGTCTAGTTGTCAAAGGTCTCCAAGGGAGTGCTTGTCTAAAGACAAGCTAATAGAGAAAATGATAGGTTTATCGTCGGTAAACATAGTGAATTCTCGCCCTTTATTTGTATTGAAACTGCTGTGCAGTGTGATACATAGCTGAGAGTTTTCTGACAAAAATTGTATACTTCGATTCAATGTCCTGCAACCGTTTCGTAAAGAATTCCGACGGTTATCTGGCGTTGTTTATCCATTGTTTGAAACCCCTTCGACTGTCGAGTCGGATGTGTTTACAGAGTTACTTATAGATGTGTACGATGTCCTGGAAAGCGAGAGCAGATGCTCTGGTGATTACTTTCTTAACCGACGCACTTCTTTTATTGCGTTGTCCTTCTAATTGATGATTTTCTCATTTCCATAAACTTGGTTTGTCAAGGGTTTCGTTAGAGAAGTGCTATCCGGTATGAACCATTGACGAAAATTAACCAGGCCGTTGATCGTCTTTAATTACTTGGCTGTGATCAGTTCTGAGTATTCCAGAATGGCCGTCACCTTAGTTCTCAGAGGAAGAATACCTTGAGTATCAATCGTGAGTTTGATAATTTTCAGATAGTCATTCGTGACTACCAACTTGATAACAAAGTCGAGATGCTGTAGACGAGATTCTCTGTCAGGACTTGCTGTAAAACATATTTTGTGCTGGCAAGTACTCATCGTTTTATCGATAGAAGAAACGGACAAGTAGTGAGTAGGTCTTTTTTGGTTGTGGAACAGGACGGTTAAAGCTCAAGTTTGTTTTTTAACACAGAAAAATCTTCAACCTTCAATACAAAATAATACCAAATACGATGCCAATAGAAAATGCGGAGGTGAATAAGTACTTGAGCTACAATGTTTTTACACTACTAAGATGTTTGCGGTTAATTTCTAACCAATCAATTCAAGTTGTTACGCACTCATCAACGTAGGCACGCACGAAATTGAAACCCCTTAATTCGTCGTTAACGGATCACTGAAAATTTTGTGCAGCATTTCTTAAACCGAAAGGCATGCGAAAAACTTTGTAAATGTTGAAGGGTTAAATGGCCCCCATCAAATGTCAGTCTACGACTGACCTCCCGAACACGTAACAACATTTTCGTCACTGAGCCATGTTTCAGTTCAGTGTTATGGAGGGTCTGGTTTTACCTTTGCCGATCAGTCAGGTCTTCTCGTTTAAGTATGGCTTCGTTCAAGGTACCATAAGGTTCAGAAACATCACTACTAAACATATTCGGTGTAATTTTCCTGTTAAAATCGTGAATAATTGCCTCTCCACTGCAATGGATTGAGCACGTGAGTCCACCACTCCGTGCTTGTGGAAGCTATCTTTTGCGTAGCAGAATCAGACTTCGATATTATCAGGTGAGAATAGTACGAGTTGAAAGTTGAAGGGCGTAGGCGTTTTAGTCTTTATCAGTTTGAGTAAATGTTTTGTCATAATGATGATAAAATCTACAAGTATTCGGATGAAAAAATCTGAGAATATGAGAATGATATTGATATATGGGAAAATATAATGTAATAAGTAGCGCTATAACGATGAACAGGCTCACAGTTCATCGATTGATGTACAATGTCACGTCAGACTCACCACTAAATATGCCACAGATATTCAGGGTTTGACAGCACTTTTGTCCATAACATCTCTATAATCAAAGACTATTAACCTAGCCAAATCAAAAGTCGATGATGAATAACTTGCTGATATATTGAGAAGCGTTTGATTTAAGCCAGATATTAGTTAGATGGGACGTGTAGCACACAGTACGCGCTCGTGATCTGATGCGAATGCGTGAGTGAGAGTCTCTAGCCAGGTGTTTCTGTTCAAACCAACGAGTCCAGAACCAATGTCGAAGAATTATGGGACTTTTTACTTTGGGGATTTATTTGCCAGCACAACCTGGTAAAAAGATCAACGAATACATTATTAGAATTCAAAGTCAAGGAAAATTATTGAAAAAATATAGTGTTTAGATCAATTGTAAACCTGCTGTTGTAGAGGTAAGAACCTTACCGTAATATTAAGAAGCGGACACAAAGAGTCAAAGCCGATCTATACTATTTTCCATAAAGGTGTTGTGTTTCGGAAGGCGCTGTAATTGTTGCTTACGCTGCAGCAAAGTATGTGTTGTAAATCAAAGTTTATTATGTTTTTAAATAAGTACCGATTATTTAAGAATGATCAAATAAGAAAGGTCATAAATATTCAAGTCGACTTTATATCATGAAGTATATCGTGTCATTGATTGAGGAATGGAATTCCGCAGGTACAGCAATCACAAAACATATGTAGTAAATTCTTCAAATTATCTTAAAACGGATAGTTTTCCAAAGTATGTCACTCCTGAAGTGTGACTGTTTTATGCAGAGTAAAGTGGCTAGAATCCGGTCATGTATTACTGGATTTTGAAGTATCAATTTGTTTGTGTGGTACTGTCAATATACCAATTTTAATCTTCATGTTTCGTTAATATTAATGTTTTCTGTTCCACATCTACGTTTTTTTAAATATGCCTGGTATGGGTGTTATGTTTAATTCAAATACAACATAACAGTTTGCTTCATGGTTTAAGTCTTTCCCTCCCTATTCACATGCCTTCAGTCCATTCTCAAATAGATGCTATTTTGAGAAAACAGTATGATTCCGTAGAATAAGCGACTTTCAAGGCAAAACTGATTATTCTGGAGTCAAGCGAGAACTAGGTTTACTAAGTGATTATAATGTGTTCATTTTGTGTTTCATTCCTTTCTCTTTTGATTCTCCACCACATAGGTGGTATTACCTTTATTTTTTTCTTTTCTGTTTAATTCACGTCTTAGTATTAATTGTAAAGTTGTATACTTATATATTTCATGACCTGTCTATATATCCACTTGGGTGTAACTAGGTAATAAACAAGCTGAGAGAAACTTTATTCAAATATCTTATTAGTGAAGTACAATTTTGGATTCGAATGTTTTAGATTTGTGGATATGATGTAATGAGTAGAATATCATCTGGGTGAAGAACAGAACTGTCCATAAAATGTACATATAATTGTATAAGATTAAAATAATGATGTTAATATTATTAAAAGGTATAGAATTGTATTGTTTTATTTCTAGTTGGCTTGATTAGTGATGTATCTTTGTGTATGGCTCTCAATAATTACCCGAATGGTCACCACATTCGCCAAAATACATCAGCTTTCGGTGCTAGGCATTTGTAAGATGTGCATTCGTACGTATATAAAAGATTGTTTGGCTCTTTACTTGCGAGGAAGTGTTTTAGCTTGTGTATTTCGGTCCGTTCTAAGACCAAGTTCACTATTCACACCACCTGAAGCCATAGACTTATGTACATATTTCTACTTTGGGTTTGCGTGCTTTTCAAGCTGGTTCTGTAGTTTACTCAAGTTTTTCAGAATTCACCATTAATTGAGCTTATTGTATTTTAGATATCAGTTGACCATATCTGTAGGACAATTATTAATCATTGTATTTATTTACTATATGACGGTTTAATGAACTGCTGTTTGTTAGTTTCTCCCTTCAGAACTACAGTAAATGAGGATTAGGTACCTAGAAGACTACTTGAGAAGTTATTCTTTAGAATGTTTGGTGTCAGAACAGTTTGTTACTTGCAAGCTTAGTATCGATTCCATACGTACTAACGTCGTTGTATTTTTAGTTATCTGAACGCTTTTTTATTTCAAGGAACCATGTTGATTGGATAAAAGACAAAGATTTCAGATAGATAGGGGTGTAATATGTAAGTATATAAGGACACACTTTTATATTTGTTTTTAAACAACATAGTCCTAAAGGTTGTCAGACTATCCAAATGAGTAATTCATGTGAGTTCGAAGTTTTTAACTCAGTTTTCATGAAATATTATATTCAACCGTCTTTAAATTTTAAGCTCTGAGTAGACCAACATTTTCGTTCTAGGTCCTGTATTTATTTTTCTGTTTCTTCACGTATCATATATGTAGCGAATCGACTGGACTTGTTTAATTTATGTCGATGTAAATTCAGGCCACACATTATTTACGTATTTTATTCGTCCGAATAATTTTCTCTTTTGTTACAGAAGCTATTCAGACTATGTTTCGTTTGTTAGTTCCTTTCCGGTGCAAATCACAAAATGTACCGAAAGAATTAAACTTACTGCAAAAACTAAGATATCCTTTATATCTTAGTTTATCTTCTGGAATTTTATATCATAGTTTTAAGTCTCCAGATAAGCATACTTGCCCAACTTTATTTGAAAATAAAGACAAACAAAAAGAGATCACTCATCCTACTTTGGCAGATTTGATCCTTTTATTCAGTGATCAAGATAATCAGTCATTCAATAAATTACCTAATGAGGCGAAAATGAACCGGCTATTGAAAATTAATCAAGATATTGAAGATGAGCTACCACTGTTCTTTGAAAAAACCCTTTTTAATGAATTACCGAAAAATTTGCTAGATTCTGATACTGTTGTTTATTATGAAAAAAGAAATGGTTCCGTCTGCAGATTGAGGTAAGTATACAACTTCTCTCCTAGTCATTTTCCTATACCTGGAGAAAGCATACATTGTATCAATTCGTTATTTGTAGAAAACGTTACGAAGTATACCTAGCTTGTTACCTATAGTTTTTTTATCAGCGATGTCTCAAAAGTATCTGTTGTATGTAACAAAACCCTTGAAAGTCAATGGGGTTTCCAGCAGCAGATAGATTCAAATTGTTGGCTGTATACAACTGGTAAATTTTGTAATCACAGTCTACAAGACACCCATAGTGAGTAGTCGGTGACTCAGAGCTATATAGTTCGAAATCGTTAGCTTTAGTGTAGATGCTGTGAATACTGCCATACTTTGTCATAGCTTCTTTCTCATTTTCTTCCAGTTCATTACCGATATAAGAATATAAAGTGGTAACTAGGTAAAAATTTGTGCACTCGACACTGAGTAATAATTTTCGTATGACTATTAGTAATACTATCTGGTAACCCGAATCAAAGTCGGTGGAGCATGTCAAAAACCTGCGAATCAGCAATTTGAGAGTAAAGTTTCGCAGTCTTTAAGCCATCATTCATATGAAAACTACAGGACTTCATTCAGCCATTACGATATTGTTTTTAACTGATTATTAATGCCCATTATAAATGTAAGTTCATGATAAAAGGAATCTCCAGAGTAATCGATTTACCCCACAAACGATCTAATCATATGCCTCAGTTGCATTGTTTCAGCTGACTTGACGTCTCGATGAATTAATTTGCGATTCTTAAAAATGTTCTTTTCTTTGTTGTAACGTGTGGACTGCAGGTTAGGTGCGCAGCGTATATTATCGATCGATTCAGTGACACGGAAAACACGTAGTGAACGACCTAGTGCCCTGATTGGTTCCGCTTCCCTGTCTAGCCCAGCCAGTTGAGTCTAGAACGCAAGTCACAGCCTCTGAGTTATGAATCATTATATTTCAGACGTACTCTATTTATATACTAACCAAACAGACCACATCGTACCATAAAAATAGAAAACAACATCTGTACAATATTTAACGAGTGAAATAAATAACGACCAATAGGGAATGTTCATTTAACGTTCAAGGACGTCATTAGACTTAACATGCTAATAATTGGCACATTATTCCTCAGCATCCATAACATTCTTATCTCCTAAAATTTTATCATGACATTTTCACTTTCAATCAAAATCCGATGACTGATGTCGTTGTCCGTAAATTAGTTGTGCTTAATTAACTAGTGTTCTTGTCATTAGTATCTAACCCAAATCTCAACATCTGTCGTTCATTCACTCAATTACAAACGGTCTTCATTCATTGTTCTTCCAGAGAAGCCTTGAGTTTTCTTATCAAATATCATTACGGTTTTAAAGAAAACAGTCAATCCATATAGGCATCACAACGATCTATCGCTGTGATCAGACTATTAAGAAAATTTTGATATCTTGACATCGAAACTGTAAAAGGGTTCACTTAACAGGTGTTCAAACGAATTTCATCGTCATTTTTCTCGTTATTACTAGCATTCTATCTTATATAAATTCTGACATGTTACTGACCCAAAAATGCGTCACACAAGTAAAATGATGGTGTTTTTAAAAAACAAAGGAGAAAAGAGTCATACAGTCAATCAATCAATAGACAAATATGGTATGACGAGGACTACAGTTTACTCAAAATGCACCCTAGAAAGATCCCTGTTAAGCAAGAGACTTCATTTCACTTGTGTGGAAAATGTGATAAACGACAGTAGGATAGCCACTGACTTTTATTATGAACTACACCTACAGTTGTCTCAACCTATTGAGTTGCGCGATCTCTGGGATCTCACTCAAGGAGTTGTGGTGAGCCCGCAAATGCCAGTTTTTTCACCTATCTTCGATACCATAGAGCTAAGTTATCAATTGACAACCCCTTTGCCTTCGCCACGCAATCCCGGCGTTGGAAATTAACGCACCATGTCGAATTCCATGGTATGACATTTATATAGCATGAAAAAGCTGCCACCGTCGTTGTTGGTGACATAAACGAAGTTATCATTAATGCTTCTGACTGCGGACCAAGCTACGATTAAACTAATATGATGGACGATTGGTTAGATATTGACACTGTGCTGAAATTTGGTTGTGATCCACACAAGCTGCAAAAGGCGGCCACTGTTATCCGGCCTACGAAAATTTGGTCCCCATAGGCCATTGTGACTTCTCTGTACCCTGATCCCTACCCTGCGTATTTACGTTCCCAGCTAACCCCAATATATCTGTCAAAAGCGCTTTATTAAAAGGGCTATTTGATCGGTATTAAGTTCCATCTACTATTCCGAACCATCACCGTGCAGGCAAGTTCTTGATTTAATTAAGCCTTCTAGTCCAACAGTATGTAAATGATTATTCGCTAATATTCATCATATTGGGATGCTTCAACTCAGTTGCTTGAACGTTAAAAGACACGACTCACAATAAAAGTCAGTGACGGTCATGCTATAGTTTTCCTTAACACTCTCCATAAAAGTGAGAACTTTGACTGGAAAACGTTTTTCCGGTTGAATTTTTTTGACCTATTTATTTCTGTTATAACTTGTGGCCGTGTGTCCTATTAATATATAACGTGATGATATTTCCAATTAGAGAACGGTGACTTATCGATCGGGCCAATGACACATAAACCCGTACGAGTAGTATAAAGTCCGTATCGGTACTTCTTGTCTAGCCCTGCCTTTCGAGTTCAGAACACAAATCTCAGCCTCTGCAATATGAATCATAGATTTCAAACATACTTGGTTTATATACCAACCAAACAGACCACATCGTACCATAAAATAGAAAATAACATTTGTATAAGATCTACCCAAAAGTGGCTGTGATTGTGCAAGACTGTAATTAATAAACTGGTAAATCGCATAATAATGGTTTATAGGTGAAAATAAAGTTCATAATAAGGGGAATATGAAAATACATAATTTAGTTACTTGACCATTATATAATAAAAATATGTGTATAGTGTTAGTCCATTCACTATTCTCGTCGGGATATAACAGTTTCTTCTCTATTAAACTACTATCATCCACTCGGTTTTCATCCACTTATTTATGTTGATTATACTCCCCCTCCTCATACTTCTTCACAATATCATTCTCTTATATGTGGCGCATATTTATAATGGTATCTCCTTGTACCAGTATTTATCTTAAATAAAATAAAATATTTCGAATGAAGACGCTTAGTGCGACATAAATGTCAACGAAAGTGGGTGCTCATGCCGCGGGGTTACCGAATAAACTCACGAGGAATAAACTTTTTGGATGGCCAGATACGGAACGAATTTGTATCACTTCTTTAGAGTTGTGCATATAGTTTCACATATACAGCATACATCTATGTCAAGACTCCGAATATAGCCAAACCTATCTGCTGCCCGATCTGCATCAAAGTGCACGCGTGGCTTTAGAAAAGCTATATCAGAGACTTTATTGGTGACCATTTAGCAAATTGAAACTGTTTCGATAGACATGAACTGAAAACGGGAACGAACTGGCAAGTAGGTCGAAGAAAAATAAAAGTAAACACAGATTGAAAATAAAAGAGGAAAGACGTATAGTGAAATGTAATAATGTATCGTCAATTATCATCTAAGTAGTTAGTGAGGTTTAACGAGCAGAATATTTTTTCGTAGCTATCTAAACAAATGTTTGTGGTCTGGGTGCTTACTGGATGCCCAGATCAAAGCATGTAGTTTATTCGGGAGAAAATCCGATCCTTCCACATCAAAGCATTTGGGGGAAATCGATTATTTATATCTATATTAGTAGCTTGTAACGCTAAAATAAAAATTAAAATATATCTCATATTTAACCTTAATTTGTTTATATTTTTCTGGTTGTAGGGATACATGAATGTTCAGATTTTAGTCTACTAAAATACTATATTGTTTCATTTACTTAGCAGAACATTGAAAATTCAGTGTCTTCTGTCTGGGACACTCAACAAGTTGAATAATATTTCTGATCTTTATCATCATCCGAATCATAGTCTCGCTGCTTAGTTATTTTGGTCATCAATGCCAGACGGAATTACGACTCACAGTAATGCTAGCAAAAAAATTAATTGTGATAAAGCTTACATCGAAATATAGGTTTTGTTAACCTTAGCGGTTTATTTATTTGGATGACTATCGGAGATACTAGTAGTGATTTCTATTTCTGCCAAGATAAGATACCAAAGACTTATACGCCTCCAAAGAAATATTTTTAAAAATTTCTCTGTTTTTTCTTTCCTTATTCACCTTAGAGGTGAGTCCTGGATTCGTGCTTTAGTAGTGGCTAGTCGGGCCTATTTTTCTATGCGTTCATATGGTCGTCGACTAGAATTGACTAGTATTTTATCTGATACAGAAAGGTGGGAAGTCGAAGTTTGTTTTCGAATCGTTCTGTTACCTTCACCATCCAAAAGAGAATCTCATTTACCTTCAGATAAATTATTAGAAAGATTAGAACAACGAGCTCAGTAAGTTAATCTATAACTGTTAAACGTAGATATTTTCTTAAATATACTTTTATTCATGTTTTCATTGATATCTGTTAAGAAATCACTAGAGATCAACGAGCACCAGATAATTCATTGGCGCCTGGCTTCGAAATCTATTCTCGCGGTTCAGGTGAGAAGTCACAACTGATAGATCTCAACAATGTCAATAATGGTAGCAGCTATCCACCATTGGTATTAGAGTTGAAGATACGAATCACTGGATAAAACGTAATGGTCTAGATGTGTCGTGGTTACTGGGGTACTAAGTTGAAAAAATTGTTTGCAGTGCTCCTCGGCTTTTAATGATTTTCTAGCGGATAATGAAAAATAACATTAAATTAGGCTAATTTTTACTCATGTTTCAACCAAACAGTACATATTTTTGTTAGCCTTTCAAAATATTACACTAAACAGTTCGAAATTCTGTAAACTGCTTTTTCTCTGGTTGATATCCGTAGTTAAAATGCAACACAAGGAGTAATGTTTATCTGAAGTGGTTAGTAATTTATGCGTTCATATGAACTGTCCGTTCGGAAATGCGATAGGTTTGGAAATATTTGAGCGCAACGTATCCTAATAAATAGTACACGTTTTCTAATTATTTTCTTTGTTAATATTCTAAATGGTAAAATGGTGGATTCATGGTTAATGGGTCTCAATCAAAGTAATCACAAAATAATTTAGATAAAATGACATCACAAACGAATGATGTTCATCAAGTGTGTTCTTCCTCAAATGTACGTCGACCGTAAAATAATAGCACTAGCTGAATTTGGATAGGTAATTTAACTCTGTATGCTTTGTATCCACAATTTTCAACTTGGATGTCTGCTTACAACTTTCAAATTGTTTCTACCTGAATTTTGTTATATACTGTTTTTAAATGCTTTGTCATTATCTTAGCTTATAAACAGTCATTACGGATGATAAGCTCTATGATTTTTAAGTCACTTTGTCCATCTTCTCTTACGGTAGGGTGATGATGCCGTAACCCATTTGGCAAGAACGGCTTCATGTACTCAGCTTTGACCCACGTTGTTAATTTGAAGTCTAGTACTACTTGTTAATCATCTATATCAAAGTAGGTGGTCTTGAATTCAAACCTGAGATTTCTTTGTTTGAAAACTAAATAACTTAAACACTACGTTACCACTCTAAGACCCGAAACATGTGTAGATAGTAAAGTTTTAGGCTAAAACCAATCTTCTATCTTATTTATCTTTGTTTTTCAATCGGCCTTTATCTATATTTTTATAATAAAAACATTGTGTCTGTACTAATTTTTCGTTTATCTCCAGTTCCCATTTCGAATACATTTCGTATGTTAATACTGTACAAATCCACTAATAGTCTTTTCCTGTGTTTCATTTATTTAGGTGGCGTAATTTTCGAGCTACTTTCTATTTGTCTGATTCCGGTAAAATTAATGCCATAAAACTCACGCAGGTTGGTTATATAACTACATGTATTTTACTATTACTTTTTTGCGGTGTTTTTTCTAATGAACACAGCACTTATTGGGATATTGAGTTACTGTTTTGTTGTATTTTGTCTGACCCAGCTTAAACACTAGAACCTGAAATTGTAGTAATCGTGGTGTACCAGGTGAATAAAGTCAGTCAGTTTATGGAGCTGTTCAAGAGTTTAATTTAACTATTCATCATGCAGTTAGGTAACATTGAGTAGTGGTTACATTCTTGTCCGGTATTATTGTCTTAGTTTCTAGTCGTATATGTTGTCACTGTTACGACAATACGTTATGTAATAAGATTCGGTGGTCAATTACTATTTTCAGAGTTTTGATTTTTTAACTCGTTGAAAAATTACCAAACACTGGTTTTCGTTTCTCACTTAAATGGTCGCCCAGTTAAATTTGGAAAACCATCTGCCTTACTTCATTTAAGAATAAATCCATGTTACTGTTTAGCCAACTAAACACTTAGTATCCGTTTCTCATTTTGGCATCTAGCAGCGAAACATTATACTTAACTTAATTCAACGTTGAGAGTCAAATTATACGTATCATTCTACTCATATGAATGTTTTTTCCACTATCATTGAATTAATTCGTTATACCAAGCATGTTAGACGTTCGTTTTGAAGTGAAATCTCTAGAGGGTCCTGTAATAATGCGTGTTTTTACATGCCTACATGATTCATTGTCACTATTTAAATTCCAGCCACCAAGTCTCGTCGTGCGCCTCCCCTACTTATTCCTGTTTGAGCAATCAAATAGTATCACTAGCCGTTACTCAAGAGATACAGCTCAAAGTTAATTATCCGAACTTCTGCTTGGTTAGTAAGTAAAATCTTTCCATTAATTATCGTAATTTAGGTCTTCCAATCATTTTGAATTAGTTAGTAAGTCAGTGCAGTCTCGTGACAAGTTTATAATTGTGTTTAAAAAAATTTGTCTTCGAAAAGTAAAGCAATAAGAAGGAATATACATAGTACAGAACAAAGATAAAAATCGAGATCATGCCTGGTGGCTGAATATTGCTGTCCGATCCGATAGCTTAATACATATTTATGAGTACTATCCATTGAGTTACAGGTATTACGAAGGGCAAATTTTATAATTTAATATGCCGTATACATGTATTGTTAGGATGGGCATTTTTTTGAATATGCTTAGATGTTAAACTTCAAGACGGTTTATATTTCAAATAAATGCAAGTGGTCATTAGTGCGTCACATTGCATCTTGATTGATACCACTCGATCAGCTCCAGATAACATGATATTGGTTACTTCTCAGTAGTCAATCAGTATGACTATCAATACTAAGGTCTGTGAGTGTGACGTGGTATAGTGTGAGTCCCAATTCTATCATGGAGCATCGATTCTTCCGTTAATAATGATATGGTTTGCTAATGATCTTCAAATAATAATTTCTTTGAAAATGGCATCTTATGTTGTATCCACAATGTACGAAATGACTTTTAATAATCTATACATGACCTGATAACACCATTCAGTCTTTCTAGGTATTTGTTGATCTTTTATCATTAAAGTTCACTAAATACTTAATTATTCTAAGAGCCACGGATAATTTTTTCTGTGAGATGATTGTGAAATTTGTAGCTTGGGAGAATGATTTTTGTGGAGCTGTGTTTTCTGAACTGAGTAGTTTATTCGTGAAACTTTCATCGTTTTTCTAGATAACAACATCACTTCAGATATTAGTGGGCTATTCGAATTTCTCTATATAATACTAACATCTTGTTCTGTAGACCTTGAATTCGACTGGTTATTGTTAACACTTGTCCTGTTATTCTCTGTTTCTTGACCTAATTGTTGTTTATCATTTCGCTGACTGGTTAATAGATTTGATCAGTTTCGATATTTTGGTTAATCCTATCCAGACCAAAAGATGAAATGCCAAAACAATAAAGTTTGACATAGTCTAAAAATTAAATTACTCCAATTTTGAAAAGCATTATATGAATCTAAGTGGCCACCCTCTTCTTGTTAACTCCGATGCGAATACTGTATTGTTGTAATATACTACAAAGTTTCGGTACATGGAAATAACTGCAGACACATTCGACTGGGAAAACTCCTTAATCGTGGACACAAAGAATACAAAGGAGATCAAGTAATTTTTAGGAGCTTGACGCTTGGGTCAGTAATCAGTTATTAATAAACATCGACGGTGATATATTTTTAAGAACCAGTTAGAGGAATAATCAGCAACACTTAGGTCAAGAACCGGGTCGAAAAGAAAGAAATTAAAAGTGAGTTTGCTGAGAATAGCAGGGCATGTATTAACGATAACTAATCAGATTCAAGGTCGACAAAAAAAGATGTTAGTTGTACGTGGAGACGTTCAAATAGTTCACTAACATCTGAAATTTTAACTGGTGAAGTTATTTAGAGTTACGATGAAAGCTTTACTCAGTTCAGGGGACACAACTCTACCGAAAACTTTTTTCTGCTTTTCGTCAGCTAATATGGTATATCTACCATTTTTGAGCTCTTGAAAACAACCAGTCTTTAAAATAATTAGACATACTTATTTTAAAATTATTGGCTCAGATAAAATCCTTTACCTCACTTTTAGATGCGATTTTTTCTTACCTAGCTATACGGCTTAAAACTTGATAGTTCACTTGTATAAAGTCAAATTTTTTCTATGCAAAAATACTTGCCTATTGCTGTTATATGACAAATGGTTCATTAACACAGCTCAAATAAATTAATATAAATGTTTCCTCTTTTTCTGTCACGATTAATATCAACCCGCTTATAACCATAGTTTCTATTCAGATAAGAAAATATGTTTAAAAAAGTGTAATTACCAAAGTATTGTCAGATAATGTGTCAATTGATACCTTTTTGAAGAATTTAGACTTAACGATTATATTTTCAAACATTTTAAAAGGTTCTATCATTGTTATCTTGATGTCTATGCCTTCGATGCTTAAGAATGTTGGGATTGTCTTCTTTACTAATATCATTTCTGTTTCCGTTTTAAACAGTATATCAATTTAACTATTAATACCCAAAACTTTTTCCCCTGTACAAAACCAAAGATGCATGAATGGATGTTAAATATAGTATTTTATATCATTGTTGTTACACATTATGTTTTTGTGGTCTACGCCACAATTGTAAACTGATTCACATTCGTACCAAAATGTATACAACAGCAAGAAATCGGGATTATCAATATGTGTAACAAAAAATCATGTTTTATCTTCTAAATGATGCTGATTTTTAACCCGGATGGTGTAATAGTAGTAATAATCGGTTATAATATCTTTGATTTATTTCATACACATAGTTCCCTTTATCATTTTGAAAAGAGCAAGAACAAAGATTTTACCAGAATAGCATGAATTCATTTTATTTCGTAGGTTCTCGTCAGCTGCTTACAACCTGTGATATTTAAAAATCATAATTGCATAATGGATTTAAATTGCTTACAGAATATTGTAAATATATACCTAATGTGAAAGAATATTCTACAACATTAATTGTGACAACAGTTCAAAAATGGGTTAGAAACAATTGATTACATAATGAATAAACATTTATAGAAATATAGTGATTAGAGTTCAGTTGAAAGATTATTAATTTGAAAGATAGTTGAAAAAATAAATTAGAATCAATGATGTAATAAATGCAACAGAAAAAAGAGGAAAAAAAGAAAAAAAGAAAAAAAATTTTAAGGTCCAGTGAAGGAATATTTGTCACCAGGGTAAGGAAAGATTAACCACCGTCTCCTTTTGAATACATAGGTCAGGTTTTTGTCGCCTGATGGCAATGGCTTCAGCAAACTTCAGAAGACTGGAGTTTGGCTGCTTACTAATCACCCTAAAGGATTGTAAGGTATCTACCTGATGTCCTGTATCAAGGAGGTGTTTGGTGATCGCACTGTTCAGAGTCTTTCTTTCCCTTGTTCTAAGACTTTTTGGAACATGTTCAAAGAATCTAAGATATGCTCTCCTTTCAGTTCGTCCGATGTAGCTGCTTTGGCAGGTACACGTAAATTTATAAATACAGTTGGCGATAACATGAAAGGGTTGCTTGTCGATCTTTGATTGGGTTATTGAACACGTTGTTTTATAGAGAATTAAAAGTTTAGCAGCCGGATAAGTTCTGGCTAGCGCTGTATTCAGTCTCTTGTTGATAATTTGTGCGACGTCATCACCTTTAAAGTTAAGATTTATATATACTGGTTTTTTATTGACCATAGTTATTTCCGTCTTCTTTTCCTTGGGCCTTTTATATTTGTCAATAAATTTTTGTGGATAAAAGTTGTCTTTTAGGCATTTTTCTACGTTCATTAATTCTTCTTCCAGTTTGTCGGTGGTGCATATCTTTTCTGCCATGTAAAATAGTGTTTTAACCAACGCCTTCTTGTAACTAATTGGACAAAAACTATTGAAATTCAGGTAGAGGCCATTCCAATTACTTTTTCTATAAATTGAACGTTGAACTGTCCCGTCTCCCCTGCGTTTTATGGCAACATCAAGAAAGTGGAACATATCGTTCTGTTCGTGCTCCATAGTAAAATGTATGTTATTATGAGCGTTATTGAAGAGTTTGAGCAGGCGGATTGCATGTTGTTTATTATTACAGATAATAAGTGTGTCGTCCACATATCTTGAGTATTCCGTTGTTTCACTAATTGCCTGTTTAAGTATCGTGTTCTCAAGATACCCCATAAAAATATCTGCCATAATTGGACCTAGTGGACTACCCATTGCTACGCCATCGACTTGGCGATATATGGTGTTGTTAAATTTGATTTAATAATTCCTCAAACATTCTTCAGTTTTCATGCAGAGCGCTTTTAAGCTTCTATTTCAAGTAATTTAGTATTCTTTCAGAGTAAGATCGTTTTTTATTAAAAGTTTTGTCCGGCGTTGACAATGTCAACCATTTTATATTGACACAGTGGTCCATAGTTATCGTATTCATTGGGAGAAATAAATGTCATCAGACTTAATTCTGTGTAACATTTAAGGTCAAATTAAAATTAAACTAGAACCGTCTAATTCAAATGGTTGCTTTTATTGACCTTCCAGCTGATTTTATTTTATTATGAAACATTGCTTATCGAATAAAAGTTTTTTCCTACAGATCGCTTCCTATTGTGATGTCTTCTGTTTAGTTATGTTGCACTCAAAATTTAAGGTTCTCATATTGCACTATATAATCGGTTTTTCTACATGGTTGGAATTATTATTAACAATGATTTTTGTTCTCATGTTATTTATTGTAAACTGTCTCTAAACTGTGATGAAGTGAAATGAATACTAAAGTTTACTACCTGTCACTGACCTCTAGTTTGTTTGACTTTGAAAGGGTTATCGTTTGATATTATTATAGTATTTTCGTCTTTTGTTTTTCTTGTAAATCTTAATAACCTAATATTCATACAGTTGTAAATATGACTTGAGTTTTCTTTCACCAGGTCATAATTATTAATTTATATATTGATTTTATAGTTAAGCAAATTGATGGTATTGTATTTCTTTATATGCGGTTTTTATGTACGCTGGTATCTTTGAATAATTATAGTCTTATTTTTTTAAGTTACTACCTCCGTTCAAGGATTCAACTGCTTTATATCCTTTGAATCAACTGACAATTAAGAAAATCCTTGCTCCCAGTCTATCTGGTCGACGTCATTTACCCACTCCTACTTCTCATGGTTTTGGAGAATTATCATTACAACGTAACGATGACATCAGTAACTATGGTAATCATAATGATGGCGTTATATTTTGGACACTGGGTAATGTTAAGTATTGGTTCCACGTAGTTGATAAGATTGTCAAACCATTTGATATAGTTATTACTTCCCTTCCCGACGATCAAGCTCACTCTGATCTTGTGGGAAAAGAACAAACTGCTTGCATTTGTCTGTCAAACGATCATCCGACGACATGTGATCATACTACAAATTATATACCACCTGTTCAAACTCCTTGTCAATCGTTTTCATTGAACTCTATTTTATTAGAATTCTATATGAAACATTCTCCATCAATTAGGAATAATAGTCAGATCACAACAGATAAACAACGGAGTTTGAAAATGTATTCTACATCCTGTGGTCCATATATATATCCAGCTTTTTATTCATTAGACAATTCAACTAAATCAAATCACATTCCTACCGTAGAACAATTCAACTTATCTAACTATTTTGCTTCTTTCCCTTCACCTAGTGATATGTCCTCTGTATTTTACTTATGCAAACTCTATATTTAAATTTTCGACCAGTCCTATTTTGTATATTACATATATCTTCAGAAAAAGCGAATAGTATCTAAGATCATATCAAATCTACAAGTACATAAACATACGCTCATGTATGAGTTGAGTACAGTTTCTGCACAATACTTTTTCCCATATACTAGATTTCTCCTCTGTTTTAAGAAACAGATATTCAGAGTACTTTTCTATAGGAAAATATACCAGTGATTTTATCTGCAGTTTGTCAACACACAGCTTTGTAATATTTACTTCTCTGGTCATCTTTGTTGAGATCGTAATAGTCTGCTCAGTGGGGTTCAAATGTTAAAGCTTTTTATTAATTACATACTATGTATTTGAGACATCGCATATTCAAGCCTATTAAATGTATCACTTGATAAGATTGAAACAGCATAAAGTTAAAGTTAACTCAACCTTTTTCTATGTGACCGTACTTTAAAGTATATTAATGCAGTTTACAACTGATATAACAATACTTTTGTCGGATAATATTCGGGACACATCTGTTGACTTCAAAGCAGCTTGTAAATCAGAGCACCGATGTACTCTGTGTAAGTTAGTGTGAGATTGTTTTGTCATTATGTAAAGTGCAAAATGGTCTGTGCGTTCCCGAAAATAATGAAACAGTACTTATATAAACTCTTCATCAGTTGTCGATAGACTAAGCATCTCAGTGCGTGTACAATAAAAGTCACTTGGTGAAGTCTGTTGACCAACTCATATTATGACTAAAATTTCTAACACAGGAGAATGTATTTCTAGAGATATGAATCCTAGTAGATAGGTCTAACTTTCTGAACGAAAAACTTCATATTCCCACTGCTTCGAATTTTTTCTGGTATTAGGGTCACTGGTCGCTCACATTGAGGAACAGACCAAATTTTTCTTAGTTAAAGTTTCCTGACATTTAGCCATTGCAATGGTTATTCGTTGTTTGTAATGAATGGAATTGACGGTTATCTAGTATCAGGGGATACATTCTAATCTGTGTTTATTAATGCACATACTTTGACAGTTTTTTTATTTCAAGTTATCTATCTTTTGGAACGTTAATAGACATTAGGTTTAGAGAGGTTACTTTGTTAAATGATAATGTCTATGCTTTGACTCTCTTAATGGTTTATATTGTGTTTATATAATCACTAGCCCTTTTTGTTATCCAAAGTTAACCTAAGGACAGAAATACGGCGGTCAAACCGTGCTAACGAGTTGAAAGCAGCAGCTGCGTCTTGCAACTTCCAGCATCCGTTTCATTTCATCCAAGCTACTAGCACTGAGAAGTCCGGTGTGAAGTTGATGGGGCGCCGATCATTAATATTAAACGACAACTTAGATGATGGGCACAGTTCTTCGAGGAACATTTCAGCCTGTTTAATTCTCCGGCAACATCCATCAAACTGCACTGTCCTCCACGGCTCACGACAATGGATTCATCTAACGAGACAGAAGTCGGCGGGGAACCCCATCTTTGGAAGTGCCACAGGGTGCTAGGTCCAGATGAACTGCCGACAGCTCATTTTAAAGTCGGTGGAGAACTTCTGGTCAGAGAAACAACTGGGTTTGAAAAGATGCGAGAAAGTGTCCCAACGTTCTGAAATGATGTGATCATCATCCACATCTTTAAGATGAGGCTTCGCCACCTGTATAACAGCTATCGCGTGATCACTTTGTTTTTAATTTTGTCTATACTATTGATTTCCGTCATAATTCGTGGATTGCTGGAAACCCATAAAAAGTTAACTCCCTAGCAACAGGCTTGATCTCTTTTAGTATATCAATGTATTATTCGTACCTTCACTCTCTGTCAAGTGCTAGAGTGCCGTTGCATTTATTACATTCATTGTTTCTTGATATCAAGGTCGTCTACGATCTGTTGAACCGAACTGTTACCTGTTGTCTTTTGGAGAAAGCTATGCTTTTGAATTTTGTTAAAATCTTGAAGGTTCTGCATAAAAAACTTCAGTTAGGGTAAGAAAATAGAAGCCCCACTGGAGCAATGGGTTTGGAGACGATTGTTTAATCTCATTACTCCAATTCGAACGTCATTCTGGAGATAGCTCTTATTTAAGTAGGTAGCAGTTGTGTGGATCTGTCACCAGGTGAGACTTTTCGATCTAAGGTGTGTGGATGGGAATGTCTCACTTTGTAGCGCTACTAAAGATATGGAGGTTACACCTAATCAGCCCACATACACTTTGCACGTAGATGCAAAGAACTCATGTAGGACCGACATGAGATAAGTAGGACTGATGGTTCGCCATAACTCCCCGGTTGAATCCTTTATGTGGTGTAGCTTAGTGGCTTAAGACACAAACAGACATGAGTCAGTGATTGTTATTCTGTAGTTTTCCTCTACATTTTTGGGTGACGCTAGATACTCATAAGTCACTTGATAAACATCCTATTTTCGTACTTTTATTTTGGAAATTTGAATTTCTCGTTTTTGCACGAAAAGCACCCATTTTTACTCCCAATTTGTATTTTCCTCTTGGAAGGACCCTAAATTTTGTTTGTTCCTCTCCTCTTTTTATACGCTATTTCGTGACGTCTTTCAAGGGTATATTTTTGCTGTATATATACTTATGAGTTATGTACTTGTTGGTTTGTGCTTCCGATTGCTTGTGAAATATACATTTCCCTCGGTTGAATCTGGTCTTCTCCCTCTAGTTAGCAGGGCTGGGATACGGGAATAGTGTTTCTTGTCATGTTGTTATGTTGCTGGTTTAAGGTGATATCGTAACTTATTCAAACGTAGGAACATTCTTCATAAGAGCGATAGCTATGTATTTGGTTGTAAAACGTTTTCCCAATTGCATTGTTTGGGCTGATTTATCTCACATTTTACGAGCTATTTCTGTTCGCTTATTTCCTATTCAAATCTTGAATCACTTTGATGCAGTCTTCTCAATATTTGTTTGGACATGTATGTACCATACAATTATAAAAAAGTGTTCGGTCTGAGTGAATAATTTAATCGAAAAGGTAATTTTCCTCGCTGATTTCTCGTTATTTTTATTCAATGACACAATGGGTTTTTTAATTACTTCTTATTGGCTTATTTTCCTCGTTTTTTCAAGAAGTAAAAGAACACCTCCAGAATCCTAGTCTTTGTTTACAAATCGAAGGTCACAATACAACCAGTTTCGTCCCAACGGTTTATAAGGAAGTGACATGACGAATTGTTAGACTTTTACTAACCTGTCTTTCTTTAACGTTGTGAAGAGACTAAGGTTATGGTCAAGTTTTGTGTTACACAATAGGAGTAGCAAGCGGAGGATATTAAACTAAAATTTCGTCATTAAATAGGAGAGGTAAATAAGTCTTTTAGGACATCTGTAAACTCTTAGCTACCTAACTTTGACTTCTACAATATCTTGCCTCTAGAATCGACTTTTTTGGAGTTTTGCTCCGATTAATCTTAAAACATGCTGGTTAAGCAACTGTAGAAAGTGAACTGCAAACACGAGAGAACCAAGCTGGCTTCAGACCTGGTCGTGGCTGCATCGACCACATATTCACCATTCGCCAGGTTCTAAAACACAGGCATACTTATCGACTTCCGACAATGGTGGTCTTTCTTGACTTAAAAGCAGTATTTGACTCTGTAGACCGCGAGATTCTGTGGCAGTATCTGTCATTGAAAGGCGTACCCCAGAAGTACATAAACCTTGTGAAGGCTCTTTACTCGAACACTACTAGTCGAGTCAGAGCTTATGGCGAACTGTCATCTACTTTTGCAACCTCAAGTGGTGTCCGTCAAGGCTGTCCACTTTCTCCATTGTTGTTTAACTTCATCATAGACCTATTGATGGAAATAACACTCTCGTCGACTGAATTCTCGGGTATTGATCTCCTTCCAGGAGGTCCACTTATCGACTTAGAATACGCAGATGACATAGTCCTGTTTGGTGAAGACGCTGACAAGATGCAGAGTCTTCTGGTAGCACTAAGCAACAATGCCAGAATGTTTGGAATGCGCTTCTCTCCCTCGAAATGCAAGTTGTTGCTCCAGAACTGGGCTGCGTCAACACCTGAACTAAGGATAGGGAGTGAAGTAGTCGAACGCGTCGACAACTTCACTTATCTTGGAAGTCTGATCAGCCCTAATGGGTTGGTATCGGACGAAATCTCAGCACGGATTCGAAAAGCTCATTTGGCTTTTGCCAACTTACGTCACCTTTGGCGAAGGCAAGATATCCGTCTATCAATAAAAGGACGAGTATACTGCGCGGCAGTCAGTTCTGTTTTAATTTACGGCAGCGAAACATGGCCATTAAGAGTAGAAGACACTCATGAGCTATTAGTATTTGACCACAGATGCCTTAGAAATATTGCTGGGATCACCGGGTAAGTAATAGTGAGGTTATAAGCAGGGTATTATTGAATGATGGTAAATCAGTCGATGAGGTTGTGAATCTTCATCGAATGAGATGGTTGGGCAACGTGTTACGTATGCCTGAACATTGATTACCACGACCTGCAATGCTGACCGGTGTTCAGGATGGTTGGAAGAAAGTTAGGGGCGGCCAAACCAAAACGTGGCACCAGTGCTTGAAGTCACTAACTTCTAGTCTGAGCCATGTTGGTAGATGCAGACTACTTGGTCGGGGTCCGCGTGACTATCGTAACCAATGGTTGGAGACTCTTGGTGACATGGCTCAGAATCGATTTCAATGGCGTCGGTGTATACACTCTCTGTCTTCTCTTAAACTATGAGATTAAAATCACTTCATATCTTTCTTTCTACGAACCAATTCTTTCTTCTTGTAATATGTCTCTATATGCAATCTTTCTTTTATATATTACCACCTCTGAATTAACCACTTGTATGAATCTGGTGTCCATCTTGTTGTGTTAATGAGGTATGGCAACTTTGACCCATGGATATATGTGCCTGGTCCTACGTTGTAGCTGACTGACTGACAAAAAGTGGTGTACTTTATAGTAGGTTGTTGTAGTACGTTTATTACTCGACATTGATACATTTACAATCA